TCATCCCCAAGCTGCTGCACTGGTGAGATCATCATCCCCAAGCTGCTGCACTGGTGAGATCATCATCCCCAAGCTGCTGCACTGGTGAGATCATCATCCCCAAGCTGCTGCACTGGTGAGATCATCATCCCCAAGCTGCTGCACTGGTGAGATCATCATCCCCAAGCTGCTGCACTGGTGAGATCATCATCCCCAAGCTGCTGCACTGGTGAGATCATCATCCCCAAGCTGCTGCACTGGTGAGATCATCATCCCCAAGCTGCTGCACTGGTGAGATCATCATCCCCAAGCTGCTGCACTGGTGAGATCATCATCCCCAAGCTGCTGCACTGGTGAGATCATCATCCCCAAGCTGCTGCACTGGTGAGATCATCATCCCCAAGCTGCTGCACTGGTGAGATCATCATCCCCAAGCTGCTGCACTGGTGAGATCATCATCCCCAAGCTGCTGCACTGGTGAGATCATCATCCCCAAGCTGCTGCACTGGTGAGATCATCATCCCCAAGCTGCTGCACTGGTGAGATCATCATCCCCAAGCTGCTGCACTGGTGAGATCATCATCCCCAAGCTGCTGCACTGGTGAGATCATCATCCCCAAGCTGCTGCACTGGTGAGATCATCATCCCCAAGCTGCTGCACTGGTGAGATCATCATCCCCAAGCTGCTGCACTGGTGAGATCATCATCCCCAAGCTGCTGCACTGGTGAGATCATCATCCCCAAGCTGCTGCACTGGTGAGATCATCATCCCCAAGCTGCTGCACTGGTGAGATCATCATCCCCAAGCTGCTGCACTGGTGAGATCATCATCCCCAAGCTGCTGCACTGGTGAGATCATCATCCCCAAGCTGCTGCACTGGTGAGATCATCATCCCCAAGCTGCTGCACTGGTGAGATCATCATCCCCAAGCTGCTGCACTGGTGAGATCATCATCCCCAAGCTGCTGCACTGGTGAGATCATCATCCCCAAGCTGCTGCACTGGTGAGATCATCATCCCCAAGCTGCTGCACTGGTGAGATCATCATCCCCAAGCTGCTGCACTGGTGAGATCATCATCCCCAAGCTGCTGCACTGGTGAGATCATCATCCCCAAGCTGCTGCACTGGTGAGATCATCATCCCCAAGCTGCTGCACTGGTGAGATCATCATCCCCAAGCTGCTGCACTGGTGAGATCATCATCCCCAAGCTGCTGCACTGGTGAGATCATCATCCCCAAGCTGCTGCACTGGTGAGATCATCATCCCCAAGCTGCTGCACTGGTGAGATCATCATCCCCAAGCTGCTGCACTGGTGAGATCATCATCCCCAAGCTGCTGCACTGGTGAGATCATCATCCCCAAGCTGCTGCACTGGTGAGATCATCATCCCCAAGCTGCTGCACTGGTGAGATCATCATCCCCAAGCTGCTGCACTGGTGAGATCATCATCCCCAAGCTGCTGCACTGGTGAGATCATCATCCCCAAGCTGCTGCACTGGTGAGATCATCATCCCCAAGCTGCTGCACTGGTGAGATCATCATCCCCAAGCTGCTGCACTGGTGAGATCATCATCCCCAAGCTGCTGCACTGGTGAGATCATCATCCCCAAGCTGCTGCACTGGTGAGATCATCATCCCCAAGCTGCTGCACTGGTGAGATCATCATCCCCAAGCTGCTGCACTGGTGAGATCATCATCCCCAAGCTGCTGCACTGGTGAGATCATCATCCCCAAGCTGCTGCACTGGTGAGATCATCATCCCCAAGCTGCTGCACTGGTGAGATCATCATCCCCAAGCTGCTGCACTGGTGAGATCATCATCCCCAAGCTGCTGCACTGGTGAGATCATCATCCCCAAGCTGCTGCACTGGTGAGATCATCATCCCCAAGCTGCTGCACTGGTGAGATCATCATCCCCAAGCTGCTGCACTGGTGAGATCATCATCCCCAAGCTGCTGCACTGGTGAGATCATCATCCCCAAGCTGCTGCACTGGTGAGATCATCATCCCCAAGCTGCTGCACTGGTGAGATCATCATCCCCAAGCTGCTGCACTGGTGAGATCATCATCCCCAAGCTGCTGCACTGGTGAGATCATCATCCCCAAGCTGCTGCACTGGTGAGATCATCATCCCCAAGCTGCTGCACTGGTGAGATCATCATCCCCAAGCTGCTGCACTGGTGAGATCATCATCCCCAAGCTGCTGCACTGGTGAGATCATCATCCCCAAGCTGCTGCACTGGTGAGATCATCATCCCCAAGCTGCTGCACTGGTGAGATCATCATCCCCAAGCTGCTGCACTGGTGAGATCATCATCCCCAAGCTGCTGCACTGGTGAGATCATCATCCCCAAGCTGCTGCACTGGTGAGATCATCATCCCCAAGCTGCTGCACTGGTGAGATCATCATCCCCAAGCTGCTGCACTGGTGAGATCATCATCCCCAAGCTGCTGCACTGGTGAGATCATCATCCCCAAGCTGCTGCACTGGTGAGATCATCATCCCCAAGCTGCTGCACTGGTGAGATCATCATCCCCAAGCTGCTGCACTGGTGAGATCATCATCCCCAAGCTGCTGCACTGGTGAGATCATCATCCCCAAGCTGCTGCACTGGTGAGATCATCATCCCCAAGCTGCTGCACTGGTGAGATCATCATCCCCAAGCTGCTGCACTGGTGAGATCATCATCCCCAAGCTGCTGCACTGGTGAGATCATCATCCCCAAGCTGCTGCACTGGTGAGATCATCATCCCCAAGCTGCTGCACTGGTGAGATCATCATCCCCAAGCTGCTGCACTGGTGAGATCATCATCCCCAAGCTGCTGCACTGGTGAGATCATCATCCCCAAGCTGCTGCACTGGTGAGATCATCATCCCCAAGCTGCTGCACTGGTGAGATCATCATCCCCAAGCTGCTGCACTGGTGAGATCATCATCCCCAAGCTGCTGCACTGGTGAGATCATCATCCCCAAGCTGCTGCACTGGTGAGATCATCATCCCCAAGCTGCTGCACTGGTGAGATCATCATCCCCAAGCTGCTGCACTGGTGAGATCATCATCCCCAAGCTGCTGCACTGGTGAGATCATCATCCCCAAGCTGCTGCACTGGTGAGATCATCATCCCCAAGCTGCTGCACTGGTGAGATCATCATCCCCAAGCTGCTGCACTGGTGAGATCATCATCCCCAAGCTGCTGCACTGGTGAGATCATCATCCCCAAGCTGCTGCACTGGTGAGATCATCATCCCCAAGCTGCTGCACTGGTGAGATCATCATCCCCAAGCTGCTGCACTGGTGAGATCATCATCCCCAAGCTGCTGCACTGGTGAGATCATCATCCCCAAGCTGCTGCACTGGTGAGATCATCATCCCCAAGCTGCTGCACTGGTGAGATCATCATCCCCAAGCTGCTGCACTGGTGAGATCATCATCCCCAAGCTGCTGCACTGGTGAGATCATCATCCCCAAGCTGCTGCACTGGTGAGATCATCATCCCCAAGCTGCTGCACTGGTGAGATCATCATCCCCAAGCTGCTGCACTGGTGAGATCATCATCCCCAAGCTGCTGCACTGGTGAGATCATCATCCCCAAGCTGCTGCACTGGTGAGATCATCATCCCCAAGCTGCTGCACTGGTGAGATCATCATCCCCAAGCTGCTGCACTGGTGAGATCATCATCCCCAAGCTGCTGCACTGGTGAGATCATCATCCCCAAGCTGCTGCACTGGTGAGATCATCATCCCCAAGCTGCTGCACTGGTGAGATCATCATCCCCAAGCTGCTGCACTGGTGAGATCATCATCCCCAAGCTGCTGCACTGGTGAGATCATCATCCCCAAGCTGCTGCACTGGTGAGATCATCATCCCCAAGCTGCTGCACTGGTGAGATCATCATCCCCAAGCTGCTGCACTGGTCAGCTGCCACTGGTCATCTCATCACCACATCTCTCCCCTCATTTTTGTGCCACAAATCTGCTCTATCCAGCATGCCAACACGTTCCATTACCCCCATAACCCACCCCTCCCTCCTTCCCTCCATCCCTCGTTCTCTTGTCCACCTCTCCCCCATGCACCAGGTACCTGCCTGACTTTGCACCGGACGTGTGGAGTCTGCTGGAGTGGTTGGCGAATGTGCTGCCCACCAACCAGGCCGTGGTGCTCATGAACTGCCTCCCCACCGGCGCTGCCAACGTCTCCGCCTCCAAGTGCGTCGTCGTCGCACCCTTTGACTACCGTTTCCGCTACCTCATCCCCCCCGTCCTCCCCAACTAGTGCGCCACGCGCACTCCCAGTTAGTGTGCAAGATGCTGCCCATGTAGTGTGCCCGTGATGTGAGTGTGGGTGGGCAGCGGTGGCGGAGGGCAGCAGTGGTCATGGACGTGATGTGGCATGAAGTGCGCTGGTGGAAACAAAGGGATGGATGGTGCAGTGCGTATGTACTTCCTTGGTGATTCGTTAGCTCGTGTTAGGCAACATGTGGTTGGTTGCGGAAGTAGTTGGGGTTGTAGTTTGTTGTGTACGGTAGTAGCAGACAAAGACGGTAGATCTAGAGGTTGTGCAGCTTACTTGTTCTTGCATTGAGCGCATTAGTTTATTCCACACATGGCATGTGGCGCATTTTTTAAATACCAAGCGAATCAAAGGCAGCAATGTATCACAGGCGCCAGTGGTGGAGGATACATTGGATTGAAGCACCTCAACTGCGCTCTTCTGGTGGAAGAAGAGGGAGGGGGCTAGGGGCGAGACTGGAGTGCTCTAATTTGGTGTGCTTGTACGGTACCAACCCACTAGGTCTACACAATACTGAGAAGTGCGATTTGGGCTTGTGATTGATCGCAGCACTGGGAGGGCATTAAGTACAAGCAGCGGGAGTGTGTGTGCTGGGGTGAGACAGCAGTTAGGGGGAGGGCGAGAGAGTGGAGGATGGGGAGAGGGAGGGGGACGTGGAGGAACGGGAGGGCGGAGTCCATTCGATGCCGCTTCCCTGCCTCCTCCCTGCACCCTCCTCTTCCCTCCCTAGCACCTCCCTCGCTCTCCGCTTGTCCCTCCTTGCTTCTGTGCGCCCCACACCACCCTCCGCCGACCCATGTGCACTGCTGCCACGCACAGCAGCCAGAGAGGAGGGAGTGAGCGGTGGGGAGGAGGGGCTGTCCTCGCTGCACTCGCGGCTCTCATCTGACCTCAGACCATCATTGCCACTGCCACTGCCACTGCCACTTGCACTCGCACTGCCACCCGTGCCCTCCCTTTCCACCCCTCCTCTCACCGCCACTGCCCCACCTCCCCACCTCCTCTCCCTCTCCCCCCTGTCTGCAAACACATTGCCTCTCGCTGCACCAATCAGGTCGCGGCGCCACACTGCCAGCCCATCAGACGCTGCAGTAGCAGGCCTCTCGCTCACCCCAGCCCCTCTCACCAAGGGCCCCGCCTCACCTCCTCCCCCTCCTCCTCCCGTGCCCTCCCCCCGCCCCTGCACAGCATCACCCCGCATCCCCTCCCTTGCACTGCTCCCCTGCCTGCCTCCTCCCCCCACTTGCTGCCTGGCTGCCCCTGCCAGCCTCTCCCCCCCCAGCTGCCTGGCGCGCTGGCGCATCAAATACGCCTCCCACGACGACCCCACGGCCCGCCGCCTCACTGCGTCGCTGCCGCGCCTCGCTGCCTCCACCACCCCCTGCCGCTCGCCGCTGTCCCCCACGCCGCCCTGCACCGCGCCACGCAGGGGCATGTGTGTGGCGCGGGGCGAGGGGCGAGCAGAGGGGGCGGACGCGCGCCAAGAGGCAGCGGAGGGGGCAGGCCCGCGGTCAGAGGAGGCGGCACCCCAGGGCCCGACGACCGTGGAGGGAGAACGTGCAGGGCGGTGGTGGGCGTGGGATGCATCATGGGCATGGTGATGGGTGTGGGAGGGGGCGTGGGCATGAGCATGGTGGTGATTCCAGGGCGTGGGGGAAGCAGTGTGGATGTGGTGATGCAGCAGCGAGGAGAAGGACGACGCCGCATGCCATGACGCTGCACCCCCACCTTCCCTCGCCTGCTGCATACCATGCCACCCCCACTCCCCCTCCCCATCCCTGCTGCCGCCACTGCTGCCATCCACACCCCTCCACCAAGCCACACCGTCCCCCACCTCCTCCTCGCCCTCCCAGCCCCTACCAACGTTCCCCCCCTGGTGCCACTGGCCGCCCAGCAACGCGCCAGGGTTCCAGGGGCATGCATCGGCAGCATCGGCTTCAGCCTGGGAGGGGAGGCGGAAGCGGCAGACGGGGCAGGAGTTGGACTGCGCGAGCCAGGGGAGAATGCAGTCGCTGTGGTAGGCGTGGCGGCACGGCAGCTGCTGCGTGACGGCGCCCACGCCCATGTCCTCGTGGCACACCGCACACGCCTCCTCGCCCCCCGCCACGTCCTCCTCGCGCACTATGCGCAGCGGCAACGCCTGCACTGCTGCCCGTGATGCTGGCGTGTGCGTGCTGGTGGGTGGGGATGGGGGAGGAGAATGGGGAGGTCGAGGAGAAGGGAGGGGTGGGCAAAGGAGGGAAAAGGAGAAAGGAGAAAGCTATCAGGTCGCGGAAGGTTGCCCCGAGGTAGCTTCATTGCAAGCACTGAGAGCGGCAACCGGGGTACTGAGGGCACGGCAATGCAGGGAGCCACGCGTGCCATACGCAGGGAGAGGGGAGTGCGGGGAGTGTCACCTGGTGTGGGACGCAGGGTGTGCGGTGGCGATGCGGTCTACGAGTGCGCTGAAGTCGTCCCCCAGGAAGTAGTCGCCCACTCGCCCCGTGAACTCGCCACCTCCACCACCACGTGCCGCTGCCACTGCCGCTGCATGCGATGCAGCCACGCGTGGCGGAATGCCGTCGTCGCTGCTCTCGTCGTTAATGCTTTCGCTGTCACTGCCCGACGTCTGCCACGCTAGAATGGGTAGGTAACACAAGAGTTCGTGCAAGAAGAATGAGGGAGAGGCGACGGTGGGAGGCACGGCACGAGGAGCCAAATCTTGCAACACACATGTCACTCACAACCTCCTCCCTCCACCCCGGCCGTCCCCTACGCGCACCTGCTCCCGGGCGGTGTCGCTCATCGGCGCGCTTCTGGCGCGCAGCTGCGCGGTGGCGACCTCCAATAACGACGACTCCTCTCTCATGTCGCGCAGGAAGCGCGCCAAGCCGTCCTCGCCGTCGCCGTAGTCGCCGAACACGCCGCCCGGCGACTCCCCGCGACCGCTCGCGCGACGCTGCGAGCCCAGCGGAAGCACGTCGTCGGGCGGATCGAGCGACTCTAGGGCGACGCGGCGAGAGTCGTCGCGTAGTCGACGCGGCGAGCGGCCTGTGCGGGTAGGAACAATGGAAGACTCGCCGCCGTCGGATGGAGTAGGGGAGGTGGGGGCCGACGCGGCCTCGCGCGCAATGGCGGCACTTCCGCCGATGTCGGGCGACGACGACCGCGATGACCCCGCGTCGGCGCGCAGGCGCTGGGAGCGCTGCGCGAGCACGCTGCGCATGTCCGCCCAGGCGTCGGCCAACGAGAGGTCGGCACGCGCGCGCGACGGGTGCAGCGCGGCGGGCCCGGCGAGCGCGGCCGCGGGGAGCTCCTCGACGAAGCCGCCTCCGCACGCCGGGCATCGCGGGCCGACCATGGCGGGCTCGAAAAGAGGGACGCCTATGGAGGCGACGGTCGCACACTGATGGCACCAGTAGGTGCGCGCCGACGGCGAGGACGACATGGCGGTGGTCGCGGAGGAGAGAATGACGAAATGCTGCTCACGTGAGTCACTCGGTATGTCGGCGGATTGCCATGACTCTCGTTGGACAAGGCGAATTTCTTCACGCTATTCTATGTGACGAGGATGAGGGCAGGGGACTCGAGACGGTTCACTGGAGCCATGGCTTGAAGGCATCCATTCGCCGAAGCATGGAGCGAGGGCCAGGGGATGGTATAGAATGAAGGGATGTCCCTTGAAGCGAGACAGGCACCCAGGCACACCCAGCTATGGCAGCGAGGGTTGGGCGAAGTGAATTTCAGTCATCCCAAGGCCCAACCAACTGACCCCCAAGCTGGGATGCACGGGGAGACGAATCCGACGGTCGAGGAGATGTGAGCTGGGATACCAAGCACGTCATCTAAGGTCCGGGTGCGCTCTCCTGTGGGGCCCCCAGACCATCAAACGCAGTGATCCGTCCGATAAAAACCGTTTGCCTGACTGTTGCGACAAGACCCCCGCATGTTCACATTGCACCCCCACCAACCTGGGTTTAAAACGGTGGCTAGATGTTTCAAGTACTACTATATTTTTCTCAACACTCATTTTCACGTACAACAGTCTAGTTCTTATAACAAATTTCAATACAAGCTTTGAAACATTGCTTATACATATTGCAAAGGATCGCCTAGAGATATGAGCACATGCCCCATAGCACGTTCGGGTTTACCTACTCTGTATGATGGCAGTGACATCAAGGCGACCTCGTTGTCCCTGACATAGCACGATCAAATGTATCCATGCTGCACAGAATGAAACAAGTTCATTAGCAACAATAATAAACTATCAAGACATTGCATGCTGCATGTAACCAGAAACAATGTACAAAAATAAGTGTTAAACATACCTGGCCCTGCGACCGCTGCTTCCCAGCAGTATCTGGCTGCTGCTGTTGGCTCGCACCATGGCCTTGTGTGGAATCACAGGCCCCCTGCCGCCTCTCCTTGATGATGTAATGCTCTCCACGTCGTCACGCTCTGCTGTGCCACCAAGAGAAAGGGCAAGTTGTATGCCACAATGCTTGCTTACATGGTATGACATATTGCTGTTACACTGCATGACACATTTCTTGACAGAATGCATTACACATCCCTGAACACATTGCTTGACACAATGCATGACACGTTACGTGAAACGTGGGGCACACCAGCGCACAAGCCCATCAACAGCCATTGGAACCCATGGTGCACGTGCAGTAAGGAAGGGCCATGCAAGAGAACGGCACTGCCATTTTGGATCACATCACCCGCCCTCTTTCACTCTCACCCTCCACCCTTGTTCCTTCCCCATCACACCCTCCCCCCACCTGCGCCAGTGCCTGTGGGTGCAGCAGCGTCGTGCGGCTTGGCGGACTGGAACTGCTTCTGGTCGGGGATGACGATGGCGGCATCAATGTTGTCTGGCAGCCCGCGGTGCCGCGCCAGCAGCATCACCAGCACCATCACCACCTTCGCCTCCGTGCGCCACACGCCTGGCCCCACTCGCCCGGGAGGGAGAGGGGGGAAGGAGAAGAGGAGGACAGGGTTGAGTGAGGTGAGGAGTGGCTGGAAGCAGTGGGGTGAGGAGAGCAGCAGTGGGGTGGGGGAAGGCAGCAGCAGGGAGCAAACTGACCTGAGAAGCTGTAGGGTGGGGAGACACAGCCGGGGGGGGCGTCTTCTGGACAGGTGTAGCCTAGGGAGAAGCCCACGTTGCCATAGCCACTGCAGTGGCATCCATGCACGCATGTACAGGGGACGCACATGCATTCGCACACAGTATGCACACAACAGCCATTTAGATGATAGACAGAGCCACATGAAGAACCATAGAACGCATGCATTCAGAGAGGGAGGAGGAATGAGAGGAGATGCGTAAGCATGGCAGGCAAGGGACAGTGCAGGTAGGGTAGAAGTGTGCTTGGCTCCGCTAGCAGCATAATGGCACATGGCTCAACCACCTGCCAGGCAAGCACGGGCCATGGGGCAGGAGGCATGGGGCATGAGACATGGGGCATGCGGCATGGGGCATAGAACATAGGACATCGGGCATGGGTCATGGGGCAGGAGGCAAGGGGCATAGGGCAAGTAATGGTAACGTTAATGGTAGTGGTAGTGGTAATGGTAATGGTAATGGTAATGGTGATGGTAGTGGTAGTTGTAATGGTAGTGGTTATGGTAATGGTAGTGGTTATGGTAATGGTAATGGTAGTGGTAGTGGCTATGGTAATGGTAATGGTAGTGGTAATGGTAATGATAATGGTAATGGTAATGATAATGGTAATGGTAATGATAATGGTAATGGTAATGGTAATGGTAATGGCATAGCACGTAACAGAACTCACGATTTCGCAAATGCATGGGGCATGGTGGCATGGCACATGGCACAATCACATGGGCGTCGAGCATTTATCATAGCCCATGGGGCTTGCCTCATGATTTCGAAGATGATGTTGAAGATGGAGAAGTTGGCTGGATCGCTGGAGATCATGCCGCTCTCCATGATGCACACGAGGAAGATGGCGAAGAAGATGAGAGCGGTGTCGTGCAGAAACAGCTTCTTGCCCTGCGTGAGCACGCCCGGGTCCAGCACGCCCTCCTGCAGGTCCTCGTAGAACACGCCGATGTCCTCGTCGTCGTACACCTCGCGCTGCTCCCGCGACGTCTGCCGCGCCAGGTACACCGGATACACTGCCACGTTCCTGAGGGGGCGAGGTGGGGGAAGGCACGGAGGGGGCACGGCATGAGGGGGCGGGGAGCAGTGCGTCGTGCAGCATGGCATGTGAGGTTGATGTGAGGCGGCATTATGCAGGCCGATGGGGAAAGGGCCGAGGGACATCCGGCCAGGCAGAGCGGTATTGACCGGGCACAGAGGCATGCATGTTGCAGGGTGGGTGGGGTCACATGAGGGTGGGTGGGCTCACATGAGACCAATATAGAGCACAAGCATGGGCGGCGAGAGCAGCGCGAGGACGACGACGTTGTAGCCCGTGGTGCGCGTGCAGATGGACTGGAAGTACCCCACCAACACCTTCGTGCCACCTGGCCCCCCATGCGCACAAACACACGCACACACACGCACGTGAGAGAAGCAAGGGTGGACGAAGAGAGCGGCAACTACTGACAGAATGATCATAGGGGAATTTGTATCCAGAACTCTTCATCCCTAACTCTACAGTACAGCCCATGACACCCCCCCCAGAATTTGTGAGAGCACCCAACAGCAATGTGGGGGTCCAGCTCAGCACACCGGGCACAACAGATTCCGCCACTGCTGTATAGTGCATTGTAACAAACAAAACCTAGAGCAAAGCTTATGCCCTCCCTTCCCATCCCCCCTGGCTGTAGCACGCACTGGAGAGGCCGTCGAGCGCAGTGGAGCTCCAGTCGAAGACGCAGAAGAAGATGAACTCCACGCTGTTGAACGCCACCACCGTCGCCACCAGCCACAGCGTGGACGAGCGCGGGAAGAGGTGCGTGTAGCACTTGCGTGGGTGCTCCAGCAGATACTCGTACACCACCTTGCGCTCGCCCTTTGAGGCGCGGTGCAGCAGCAGCAGCAGGCCGCGCAGCGTGGGGGCGAAGAGCGTGTTGCCGAGGAGCATGAGCAGGGAGAGCAGCAGCAGCAGCGGCACGTTGGAGTTGAAGTCCATCATGTTGCTGTTCAGCAGCATCAGCCCCGTGTTGCTGAACGCCGATACCACCTGCCCGACCCCCCGCACGCACCCGGTTGGGGGGAGAGGAGCGTGAGGGCGAGAGAGGAGGATCAGATGGGTGGGTGACAGTTAACAGGGCCATGGTGATGACGTATGCAAGAAGCTTCATGCTGGCAGCAAGCAACACATGCAGCGCACATGAGCGGCACAGATTGCATAAGGTGCAGCAAAGAGGGCAGAGGAGGGGGGCGGCAGGGAGGGCACCTGGAAGACGGAGAAGAAGACGGAGTTGACGCCGTTGCGGTCCAGGACCTGCCTGACAGAGGGTGAGACGTGCACGATGACGAGCATGAGCACCACGGCCACGCCCTGCACCACCACGAAATACACCGGCACCAGCCAGCTCAGCAGCTCCAGCGCCCTGCCACCATGCACGCACACAGGGGCAAGAGGTGCAGGAGGTAGGGGCAGTGGACGGATGACCAACCGGGTGTGGGAATGAGCAAGGGGGGACGTGGAATCGGAGTGGGGGTGCGGGTGGGGAGGTAGGATTGGATGATGGCAGCGCAGAGCAGAGCAGAGCAGTGCAGTGAAGTGCACAAGAGCCATAATCTCGTCACACAACAGAACCAGTCACCTCTCTTTCCCACATCACTCCTTCCCCATCCGTTCCCTGCCCACCTCAGTTCCAGGAACCTTCGTTCGCCCGGGTCCATGGGCAGCAGTTCAGCGTCAGCGCCCGCACTAGCCCCCTCGGCATCATCAGTGCGCCAGGTGCTGGACGAGAGGGTGCGCTGGAGGAACAGCCCCGGACGGTGCTCGTTCTCGCGCTGCTGCTGCTGCTGCACGCGCATGATCTCCAGCGCCAGCTTCAGCCGCTGCCCCTCCGCGCGCGCCACGTCCCCCGACCACGTGTGCCACGCGTTCTCTTCCCCGCCCCGTACCGCCCCGCCATCGGCCCCACCGTGCGTTCCAGCGCATCCTCCAGCCCCAACGTCCTGCGCGGGGTCAGCCCCGTCCGCCCCTGCGCGTTGCGCGGACTGTCCCACATGCGCCCATCCCACCGCGCCGACCGCGGCCCGTGCTGGCTGCTGTTCAGCCGCAGCGCGTCCACGTCAGCGCGAGCGGATCTCGGACCATCCTGGCTGGAATCTTGCCGCGCGGCATCCACGTCGGATTCCGCTGGAGCGTCATCAACGGGAATCACGAGAGCAGCGTCCCGCCCTCTGCTCGCGCCGCTGGACCCAATCGGAGACACCCTAGCCGGGTCGCTCAGAACGTGGGTCACCTTGCCTCCACCCACCGCCATCGCACCTGAACCCTCGGCCTTACTGCCCAATGCAGCATGATCGCGCGCGCCAGCGTCCTTGTCGTCTTCCGACGCGCGACGCTCTTCCTCCTCCAGCACCCCCAGACCCTCCCCGCCACCCTCGCCCTCCCTGTTCCCATCCACCCTCGCCGCCTCCCCGCTGCGCACTGCCACCACGGGATCGCTCCGTCGGCCGGCACGCGTGACGTACCCCTCGCGGTAGAGGTAGCGGTGGAAGTAGAAGCGACGCACGTACACGGGCACGAGTGACGTCGTGATCTGACTGCCGATTATCATGAGCAGCAGACGGAAAACGTTAGCTCCATCAGAAAAAACGTTAACGTCGACGCTGATCATTCCTGTCAGGCACGTGGCTGACGTCACGCTGTACAGCGTGTCGATGAAACTCATCTTGCCGCCCGGGCCGCCCGGAATGAGGTACATGATGAAGGTGCCGATGAGGATGACTATAACGAAGCAGAGGACGTGGAGGCGGTAGAAGGTGACGTGGCGGCGGAACCACGGAGGAAGCTTGACGCTGAAAGCCCAGGTCATCCATGACCGTTCGAGCTCGTGCAATCGGTCGATGGAAAAATTCTTGCGCATGGACGTTGCGACGGTGGAGAGGCGCTTGCTGTTCGTCCATGACGGAAGAAGCCAGCTTCCGTGCGACGCAGTCTCGCGGTCGCTCGCAGGTCGTCCTGATCGCCGCGACGAGCGAGCCTTCACATCTGACGGCGCACACGACGATCCTTCGTCACCGCGACGGCCCTCCGCTTTCCTGGTTTCACTGTCGTTGAATCCTGCGACGTTACTGCTCCGACATTCATCGCGTGCTGCCTCCGTCGCCTCTACCACGGCCAGACGCGACTCGGTGTTCAGAGAAGGATTCAACGGGCTGGCTCGTCTCCTACCACTCGTCTCCGGCGGTTGACCGTCAGCCATGATAACCCGCGAGGCAGCCCAGCGAGTCGGCTTCGGGCCAGTGGAGAGCGTGCAAGCAAATGTCACTGCGCGGCCATGGATTTCACTAGGTCCTTCGCTAAAAATCACCAGAGTAGTTTTAGTTGTTATCACTTGCTACAAACTTCTCTGCCAGCCAAGTGAGCGTGAGCCGGACTAATGAGCAGTGGGGAGGGGAGGAACTCATGAGAGACGGGCATTGGGTGGGAGGGAATCTAGGGACTAGGTGACTGTACTGTACTGTGTTGGGGGGGATCATGTAGCGTCGCACGGGAGACCGCACCGCACAGGGTGAACGTCGCCAAGCGACGCCCAGCCGTATCGTCAACCTCAAATTCAGGCCGAACGGCAAGCCCGAGGGTGCCCTCGCGTGTCCCGATTGGCTTGCTGGCGTCAGTCTGTCAGTACAGCGCACCACTGTTGAGTCGAGCAGAACCTCAACTGCACAATGCGAAACTCGCGGCGGCGGAAGTCCGCTAGTGTATGGTGACCAGAGCATCTACACGTGACACCAACAGTGCTGTGTACATTATTGGATCATTACTACAAGCTAAGAAATGCTTTTCATTTCAACTGAATGCTCGTACTACCCTCCGGCACCCTTTTGCTCAGCCAATCCAGGAAGCAGTGTTCCTGCAAATTCCAGTATAAATCAATGGCCAATACAGCCACAGGAAATAAACTAGAAGCAGACCCTTCTGGAAATCAGCCCATGATCATGCTTCAGCTCCCAACGCGGTGGTAGAAGAGCAAATAGGCTTCACAGCGCAGCACTCGCTCCAGCGTCGTTGCCTGCGCGTGCGTGTCACTGATGTACCACCACTGCCCACCCTCCCACCACTCGCTTGCCTGCTCCACGCATACCTTCCCCAGCACTCCACTGCCCTCCACGGTAACCCCATTGATTTGCCCTGTGACCCCTCCGCCCTCTGCCCCACCAGCTTGCACCAGCTCCGCTCCACTGCATGCACCCACCTCTGCCTCCCCACTGCTTTGCACATCTGCTCCAGCCCCGTGCTGCTGCTGCTGCCAGCCGCGCCGCACGTAAGCCACGTAATGCCCACCTCGCATGGTGCCGCTGTGCTCCACCACCCCACACAGCCGGTACCGGTGGGGCTCACCCTCCGCCTGGGACTGCTCCTCCAGCCCATGGCCCAATGGCGCCTTGCCACCTGTCTGCGTGGCTAACGGTGCCTCCGGTATGTGCGACGGCTTGGGTGCTGAAGTGGACGATGCTGATGGTGATGGTGATGGTGATGGTGATGGTGTGCCTGAATGGGGTGCTGTGGGACAATGTGACAGTGCCACATGGGGGCATGCGGTAAGGGAGAGTATTGAGGAATGAATGGTTTAGCAGATCACAGGGAAGTTCAGATCACAGGGAGGTGCACTGGAAGATACAGTGCAGGGAGGCAGAAACTATGGGCTGTCAGGAATTATAGACAAAATTGAGCGACACAAACAAGAGAAAAAAGGAGAGAGGAGGCGGATATGCAAGGGAGGGCGTGCAAGGGAGGACTCACAGGGGCAGGGGGTCGACGAATGGGCTGAGGTCCAGCCACTCCCCAAACGCCACGTGGCCACTGATCTTGGAGAGCCTGCCGTGATTGTCGTGGCGGAAGCGCTTGAGATGCACCACCAGCACAGGGGGTGCCCTGTTCACCCGGTACCTCTTCCGTGCCTCACTGCGCACCCAAGCCACCTGCTCCTCCTCCTCCTCTGACTCTGCCTCTGCCTCCTCCCCCTCATCCCCATCCTCCCCTCGTTGGTCTCCCACCCCTCTGCCACCGCCAGTGCCATCAGCAGTAGCATCAGCAGCAGCAGTGCCAGCAGCAGCAGAAGCATGAGCCACATGCTCCACATATCTGCATTCCTCATGACTGCTGTTGCCCACGCCGTTACAACCACCTGCTGTGGCCACTTTGCCTGCTGCAGGTGCATTGTTTCCTGCTGGCTCAGCGTTTTCTGCACTCACATCATTTGTTGCAATCACGTTGTCAACCGCACTCACGTCTGTTGCACTCACGTGATTGAAAGATTTATCTTCCGCAGTCGTATTTGATGCCACCACTACCCCATCTGCCTCGCCTCTCACCTCCCCCACACTCCCACCCACAACCTCTGCCCCCTCTCTACTCGCCCCTTCTGCATCCTCCCCCCCACTACCTTCTCCGCCCTTCCTCCCTCTCCTCCCTCTCCTCTCCTCCCTCCGCCTGCGCCTAGCTTCTTTCCGTCTGATGGCGGTGCACCCATCGCAGCCCCAAGCATCGTCGCCTCTCAGCACCTCCTCAGCACTGAACTCCCACAAACATCCCTCCACCGACATTCGTGGAGTTGCTGCCTGCTGCTTCTGCAGCTGCACCTGCTTCTGTGACCGCTGCGGCGACTGCAGCTGCGGCTGCAACTGCGGCGGCTGCTCCGGCTGATCTGACAGGAATCCCGCTCTCCGGACCTTCCCTTTCTCCGTGCTCATGCTCACAACGCCACCCTCCTGTGCGCCCGCTGCACTGCTACTGCATGCCACACTCGCACCCATGCTGCTGCTCCCCATGGCACTACCGCTGCTGCTACAGCAGCTGTCAGCGCCGCTCTCTCTGCTGGAGGGGTCAGGCACGCTGCAGGCGCCGGTGACTGCACTGCTCTCACCCTGCCTCGCACTCGCATCACTCTCCCACTCCTTTCCTCCTCCCACCCTCTGCTCCTTCCCACCCTCCTGGACGGCATCTCTCCCCTCACCAACCGTCTCCTTAGCAGCCATCCCCTCAGCAGTGTTCCCATCAGCAGCGGTCCCATTCACAGCAGCACCACTGCTACTGGCCTCACCACCATCCCGTGCAAGCCCCTCTCCCCCTTCCACTGCTGCTCCCTCCCGTCCCTCTTCCACACCTCCACCTGCCACGTCACCTGCCACGTCACCTGCTACATGGCTTGACACGTCACCCGCCACATCACGAACATCTGCCGCCACCTCACCATTCCCAGCACCCGCTTGCTTTGCATCCACCTTGCTGCAGCTGGTGCCACTGTTACCATTGCTGCTAACGTCACTGCAATCATTGCTGTCTGTCCCTGTGCATCCTTTGCTCGCCTCCCCATCGCCCACACTCCCTTTCACCCCCTCGGCCGCCCTTCCCTCCCCTCTCTCTTCCCCCTTCCCCTCTAACTTCGCCTCCCCGCCCTCTGCCATCCCCCCTTGGTCACCCCGCCCCTTTTTCCCATCCCTCTTCTCCACCGCCGTCCACTCGCCCACCCCCGCGCCCTTCCCCCCAACATGCCCCTTCCTACTGCTCAGCGCGGCCAGGTGCGCGCGGGGGGAGGGCGTGGGGGCGGCAACGGGGATGGGGAGGGAGAGGTCGAGGAAGGGCTCACTCACAGTGGACGAGTGCCCGCACTCGCAGCACACCACCGTGCTGCTCAGCACCCCGCCAAACAGCCTCTCCACCACACTCAACCTCTTCCCACTCTCTCCCCCTCCCCCTTCGCGTCCCCCCTCACCCTCCCGCCCTGCCTCCGCCTCGTCCTCCTCCTCGCTTTCCTCCTCATCCGCCTCTTCTTCCCCCCACCCCGCTCCCCCACCGTCCGCCTCCCCCCCACTCCCCTCCCCCTCCAGCCATCCCAGCCCCATGCCCTCTCCGCCCTCCTCCCCCCGCTCCTCCCTCAGTCGCTGCACCTCCTCCGCGGCAGCGGCCCCCTCCACGCGCCTCAGCCGCGCTATTGCCTGCCCCAGCCCCGCACTCAAGTCCCCCATTGCCCCCAAACCGCCCTGTCTCTCCGCCTTCCCCCCCTTCTCTTTTCCCCCTGCACATCCTGCAGCGTTTGCCGCAGGGAGGGATGGGGGAGGAGGGGGAGGCGGCGGGGCGGAGGGGAGAGGAGGGGGCGGTGGGGCAGAGGGGGGAGGAGGGGGCGGGGGGGGAGGTGGGTTGGAAGGAGGGGGAGGTACGCGAGGGGAGCCATTAGCACGAGTCGGGGGCGGGGGCGGAAGCGGGGGAGGGGGCGGCGGACCAGCAGTTGCAGCTTGGCGTTTCTTCTTGCGGGCAGCAGAGGCGGCGGCAGCAGCAGTGCCGTCCTCCTCCTCCTGCAACAGTTGCAGCAGGCACCGCAGCAGCTCGTGACTGTCCTGCTGCTCGTACCCTCTGAACCGCGGTGCATACCTGCACACCGCGCCAAACAGCTCCCGCGGGTTGTAAGGCGGCGCCTTCCCCCCCCTGCCCTCCGCCTCGTGCTGCTGCGCCCGTTTCCCCCCGCCCCCCTTGCCATGCTTCCCCCCCGCGCCCCGCTTTCCTCCTCCCCCCGCGCGGGCTGTTGATCTGCGCGAGTGGAGAGCCTTACCCCTTGCCACGTGGCCGCGCGGACTGCAGATGCTCTCCTCCGATTGGCTGCCTGTGGCAGCGGTAGCAGCGGCAGCAGCGGCATCAGAATCAGCAGCAGGCACGAGGCCAGGATTCAAGTCTTCAAAGACGCGTCGCAGGGCCATACTAATGGGCCCCTTGAACCTCCTCTTCGTCTTCCCCACCTTCACTCCTCCCCCCTTCCGCCCCCCGCCAACCTTCCTCTCTAACCCCTCCTCATCCCCCCCATCCGCATCCGCACCTTCATTCCCCACTCCGCCATCGCCCCGCCTCTCTGTCCCCGTGCCCGCCAGAGCAGGCGCCTCGACAAGTGGCAGCTCCGGATTGGCGAGGAAGTGGTTGCGAAGCGCGGGGATGGCGACGAGGTTCTGAAGGATTGAAGAAGCACGTGTTGCCCAGATTGCTCAACCCGCGCACCGGCCCCTCGCCCCCCGCGCCTGCCCGCCGCTCCCCCTCCCCCTCCCCTTCCCCCTCTCCACCGCCCCCCTCCTCCGCCTCCTCCTTCGCTCCCTCGTTTGCTGCCCCCCCACCTTTCCCCGCTCCGCTCTTCTTCTCTCTCCCCTTCGCACCAACCACCGCACCCCGCCCCTCCTTCGTCTTCCCTCGCCCCTCTCCAGCCTCCGCCGCTCCCTCCTTCGACCCCCCTTTGCTCTGCTCCGCCGCCTTAGCGCGCGCCACTTCCGCGCGCCTCTCCGCCAGCAGCAGGAGGAATTCGCGGAGCGGATGGTCCAAGGGGAGGCTTTGCGGCCATGGCGCGCCCCCTCCAGCATCACTACGCGCAGCAGCACTCCCCCCTTCACTCGCATGGGTGGTCGCAGCATTCGCTGACGTGTCACTCCGCGCCTCTCCCCCTCCCGCCTCCCCCTGTCTCTCCGCCCCCTCCCCCACCGGATTTTCTTCCGCCTGCGCGCACTTGGCGCCATCCGTCTGCGCGCGTTCGTCACCATCGGCGCGCAGCAGCACGCAGCGGTGGCAGCGGAAGCACCAGACGCGCAAGGACTGCGCGTGCGCCATTAACGCATGGCTCTTCAGCTGTCCCCAGTGTTGCCGCGCGTGCCCGTGCCCGCTCTCCCGCGCGCCAACGCCTTTCCTTTCTGTTTCAACTTCCGCTCCGCCATCCCCTTTCCCTGTTTCCGCGTCCCCTTCCGCCATTTCCGCATCTCCGCAGAACCCTCGCGCGCACACCAGGCACACCCAAAGGGACTCCTCCGCCGTAACCGTTATAGGCGCCGCGTGCTCCTTCTTTTTGCTGCTAGCCAATCGGTGGCTGTGCTGGCTGCACGGATCGCACGCATCCACGTGGCGTTTCTTCAGCTCGCGCGTGAACTTCTTCAGATCTAACCCCTTGTGGTGATGACACGTGGCAACGCGAGTCCGCGACTCGTCTTCTTCCTCATCCACCACCACATCTTTCGGCGAAATTTCCGATCCGGGAATAGATTCAGTCGAAACGGCTTGCGGGCAATCAGCATCACTGGCGCCGGTCGCCAGCTCAGCTGCCTGCGTGGCACTCTCTGATTGATCGTCACTCGTCCCGGGCGACCCATCAGGTGTTCTTGCGGTGGTGGCTTGACCTACCGCCTTGGCCTTGCGTTGTTGCTTCCGCTTCGACATGGCCGCCAGTGAGAGTGCGAGCGGCGTCGCAGCGACGAAAGTCCCACGGCGTCCACAAAGCCCCAATCCGTCTCACCTCAACTGGACTCTGCGCGAGGAACGAGAGGCGGCGAATCAGCAGCTGTCCTGGTCAGGACAGGACTGCCCTGGTGGTATTTTGTGGTCATCCTGAGAAAGATATCCAGGATGCGTCACTCATCGTGCAACTGTGAGAAGTGGTGAGGAAAGGTGAACCAGGGTTGGTGCTTACGGGAATCCCCGGTGCCCACGAGTTTACCGAAAGTGGTTTCGAAGTACCAAATACGGAGTACCAGATGCTAGGAAAAAACACTCATGTATTGCAATTATATTATATTACATGGGAAGACAGCTTGTGACTCGCCCCCTTTCAGAAGCACAATTACAGCTTTACATATTAATCCTGTGGAAGGAACGTTACTTTCCTGAGAATCATGAATCGGTTCTCGAAGCTGAGTTCTTGTTGTCGAGCAAGGGGCTGTCTAACGATGGTTGGGTGATCTCATCTGATGACTCGTCCAGGTGTGTCGTGAGCACAATGCCACCCGCCAGGAGAGATGAAACGAGGGGCAGCAGAAAAAGGACCCAGCGCACAATAGAGCGCGGGCAGGTGGGGCTGGTGGGCCCACAGTACTCCTCTTTTGCTGCATGGCACAGCACAGCATGGCACATCAAAGGGATGGCACAGCAGCAAGACTCATTAATAAGTAGCCTTGTGGAATGCTGGAAGACAGTCACATGCCCGATCATTTGTCCACCCATTGGGGCAAGAGGCAGAGGGCAGGCAGCAGGGGGCAGCGAGAGACAGTCGAGCATGGTTGGCGCGTGGCAGGCACGCACTGTTGAAGGCCTGGATGGCGACGAGGGCGATGCCGCAGGTGAACTTGTCGAGGAAGGAGAGTGAGCCGTACACAAACGCACACACCGACACGTGCTGCCCCACCAACACCCCCTCCAGACTCGTTGCCGTCACCTGGTGGGATGGGATGGGATGGGATGGGACGGGATGGGATGGGATGGGATGGGATGGGATGGGACGGGATGGGATGGGATGGGATGGGATGGGATGGGATGGGATGGGATGGGATGGGATGGGATGGGATGGGATGGGATGGGATGGGATGGGATGGGATGGGACGGGACGGGACGGGACGGGACGGGACGGGACGGGACGGGATGGGATGGGATGGGATGGGGGAAAGGCGCAAACAGGCAAAAGGGGGATGCGGGGGACTTTTGATGACGCTGTCACCCGATGGGCTGGGACAGGGGGGATGTGTGCACAGGCAAGAGTCAGGAGGTGGAGGGGGTGTACCAGGGATGCAAAAAAAAAGAGCTGACAGGGCTGGTGGTGACAGGGCGTGCATGAGTGAAGGAAAAGAACAGAGAGCAACAGCATGAGAGCACGAACGGGAGAGCAGTACCACGGGAGGGAGGGGTGTGCAAGCAAGAGAGGTAGGGGAGGGGGCAGGGGCGTACGAGCATGAGGGCATTGGAGATGCCGACAACAAGGGCGAGGGCGTAGACAATGAGCTCCATGGATGGCCCCGCGTCCACGTAGAGGAAGGCTGCACTCGCCCCCACCCACAGCACCGCTCCCATGCTGCACGCCACCCTCATGCGCCCCATGTCCCACTGTAGCTCCTGCGAAGGGGAAGACGATGGGGATGGGTGGGGGAGGGAGATTGACAAGGAAAAGGTGTGAGGCAACTCACACGCTGACATGCTGCACGCCACCCTCACTCGCCCCATGTCCCACTGTAGCTCCTGATGGTGGTTGGGACGTGGAGGAAGAGAGGGGGTGCGTGGGTGGGGAAGCGAAGGACATGAGGAGAAGATGCTCTTTGAGGCGACTGAAAGTCGCCCATGCTGAGCCTCATGCGCATGAGCCTCCAGGTGTGGAGTGGAGGTGAGGTGTGGGGGAGGATGAGTGGGGTGGGGGGTGGGGGAAGGGGGAATGAGAAGGAATCGACAAGATTGGGGAGGAAGGAGATGGGAAGAGAGTTGGGCGCACGATGGGGATCGAGAGATTGGGAGAACGATGGCACGAGTGAGAGTGAGTTGAGAGAGAATTACTAGAAGCAGGGTGGCATGAGTGAGAGGTGGTGAGGGGTGTTACCTGCAGCACGACGGAGGTGATGAAGCTGCAGATGAAGATGAGCGCCGGGATCTGATGCGCACGCAGGGGGGCAGTGAGGGGGCAAGGGGGAAAGGTGGGGGCAAAGAGCAGGGAGAGAGGGGCGACATGGACGCCGTGTGATGTGGTGTGGTGCAGAGAGGGGAGAGGGGAGGGGGGTACAAGTGGAGGAGCAATGAATGAGCGTCACCAGGCAGTGAGATCAGAGAATGAGATCAGGCAATGCGATTAGGCATCGTAGCAAGACAGTTTCCATAGGGCAAAGGCAGGGCGGGGGTGGGCGAAGGGGAGGCTCACAGTGGCTTTGGCAGAGGGGTGTAGTCCCAGGTCGAATATGAGGAAGAAGGGCAGCATGGCCTGCGGTGGCGGGGAAAAGGGACGGTTGGGGAACGGGCGGGAGAGAAGGGGGAGGGAGAGAGGGAGACGGTTCAGGACCGGAGTGTGGAACCAGTGCTGTGTGCGCTGTGCTGTGCTGTGCACAAGGGCTTAGACAGGATTAGGGGCGCAAGATTTCTGTGAATTAAAGCTACGGGTTTTTGTTACTCGAGAAAAAAAAAAGGTTTTACCGGTCGCCATTATTGCTGAACCGGTAGAAAAAAAATGTTGACCTGGGAGATACTATTGTTTAGCTTTCTTCCTAATTTGGCAAATATTGTTGTTTTTTTCCTGATTTGGGACATACTATTGCTTTGCTCCTGATTTGGGACAAATTATTGTTTCGCTGCTGACCTGGGAGACGTTGGTAATGAGTCGCACGAACATGTAGACAGCTGCCACCTGGAAGTATGCCAGCTGGCGGAACCAGAAGAGCCACGCTGGCACTGCTGGCTCCTCCGCCACATCTGATTGGCCGTTCTTCACTGCCCACTGCTGTGATTGGTCGGTGCTGTCATCGGCGGATTGGTTGGTGGAGAAGGAGCGTGAGGAAGGTAGGCGCACTGGCGCACGGGAGACGCTGGGGGGGGTGGGTGGCGAGGGAAGAGGCGCGAGAGGCGAGGAGAGGAAGGAGAGGCAAGGAGCAAGGAGAGGAAAGGGACACAATGGTGGTGGTGCCTACTGATGACGCACATACACATGGCTCTGGGTTGATTGCACGCAAACACGGCACGGCACGGCACGGCACGGCACAGTACAGCGTAGTACAGCAGGGCAGGGTACAGCACAGCACGGCACGGCACGGTACAGCGCGGTACAGCAGGGCACTGACGTGGGCTCTTGGACCCCGGCGTAGAAGACGAGCAGGAAGGCGGCGCCCGACGTGAGCGCCACAAACGAGATCCACCGGTACTGCGCTTGCACCTGGAGAGGGGGGAAGGGGAGGGAAGGGGAGAGGGACAGGTATGGTGAGGCAACTCGCTAATCGAACAGCAACAGCAGGTATTGTTTCAATCAATAAGGCCGTTCACAAGGAGGTGCGTTGGCACTACAGCATGCGCCCATCATGAGCAGGCACCTGGAAAGGGTCATACCATGGGAACCTGGGCCAGGTTATGGACACCTGGGAAGAGTGGTGGGCACCTGGGAGCGATCATGGGCACCTGGGAGGGGTCATGGGCGGGGAAGAGGGAGAAGGCAGCGAGGGCGATGGCGAAGAGGGCGAGGTTGGCGACCATGGTGAAGGCGTTGCGACAGCTGTTCATCGCCACGCGGCTGCTGGGGTTGGCCGTCAGACAGTTCACCATCGCCCTGTGTGGGAGGGATTGCGGGGAGTGGGAGTTGGAGGGGGAGGGGGAGGGGGACGGGGAGGGGGAGGGAGAGGGCGGAAAAGGACAGAATTTGGATGTGTGTGAGAGGACAATGCGGGTGCTGAGGGGGAGGGGGGAGGGGATGCAAGGGGGTGTGGGTGTGATGGGGGAGGGAGGCAATAGATGTGTGTATGAGAGCGAGAAATTGGGAGTGTGTAAGTGCGCAGGGGGGCTCTCAAGAACAGAATCTCTGCGCTCGCAAGTGGCATCCTCACACAAGCATTTCTAGGCACAGGCAGGCAGGCTCGGCCAGCAAGCCAGCCCCACGCACATGTGAGACACCTGGGTGGCAGCCCAGCCGCAGTTGAAGACGGCAGCAAAGACGCTGTAGCTGGCGGTTTCAACGAGCGTGGAGTTGGAGGCGAGCAGGTGGCACACGAGGCAGCCGCCGAACACGGACGAGAAGGACACCACTGTGCACACCGACCCGCCAAAGTGCCACAGCTTGTAATGCCCGAACCGGTCGATCTGGGGGGGGTGGCGGGTGGAGGGGAGACGGTGCCCCCAAAGGAGTTGATATGAGGGTGCGAACGGGGGTTGGGATGATGGGGCACACACACATTGTTGAGAATTTGCAATTGGGAATCAGAATCAGGGGCGACCAAGATGGTTGAGATTGATTCCATCCTTTAGAAACAAGGTGGCGCATTGCACAGATGTGGCCCGTTCTTCCTCACATTTGCACCCTTTCATTCCACTGCTCCCGCCACCCTCATGCCCCATTTGCCCCATCACCACTACGCCTCCTGTGCCTGCCATTCCATCCATGCCTATAACAAATTCCACCCGTTGCTCCCATGGCTCCCATGCGTCTGGCTCACCAGCTCGCCAGCGACGAGGGTGGCAGCGGCATCGGCGAATTGCCCCGACAACATCACCACGCCCGCCTGCCTGCACGAGCGCGCGTGGAGTCAGGGATCATGCACCACGACAGGGTTAGGGATCGGAGCGAGGAGGAGGAGGAAAAGGAGAGGAGGGAGCTGGCACCGGAAACTTCAGAGCATTCGGATAACGCAGATAAATGTAGCCGTGCCACCAATTCAAACACGCATTGTAAATCCCTAAAACACTCCAGGTACCCACGCTCACTGCCAGACGCTCGCACAATTTTAGACGCTATTTGTCCATAATGGGAGCTACCAATTCTGTGAGCGTTTTTCACGTCAGACAAAAATTCCAACCCTACTAAGGGTAATCAGATGCACGTGATTACTTTGAAGGCTGGTACAACGGACATACAGGAACGGCGTACGGGCGAGGGGACGTACTGCGGGGAGAGGCCGATATCGGAGAGGTAGATGAGGAGGTACGTGAACCAGCACGCCGCCGTGATGTCGTTCAGCATGTGACCCGTTCCGTACGCCACCACCTGCCACCGCGGTAACGGCCGCCGGCATGGGCCCAGCGGCAGCACCACGTCGCTTCCCGGGGAGCCTCGGCTAGGCGATGGTTCTAGAAGCGGGAGATAGCCGTCAGGACGGGGATCTGCGCCGCCGTTTGCGGCGGTTTTTACGGCGTCGTTTTCGTTGGTTAGCAGGGGAACGACTATGGAGACTTCTGAAGTGGAATCGCGTTGCGAGGAGGACGGACCCATTTGCGATGAACAGAGAGAACGGCGATGTGCAGGGGAGCTAACAGACAGCAAATCGTCGCCAGAGTTACTAAGTTGACGACGCATCGACCTAATGCGGACTAATGAATTTCTATAGCGAAAATCAAAAGCCTAAGAAGAAGGTCTCGAAAATTGCTGCTACGAAGGAAAACAGGTCGGAAACTTCACAAACAGCCCAATTCAATGCGTGCTGGCGTAATCCTGCCAGATGGGAATGCGAATACTGTAGCTTTAATTCCCACATAGCGCTGGAGAGACACGTCAGATGAATCAGCCATGGCCGCCGAACCAACCAGCCACGAAATTCGCAGTGCTGCTTTCCAGCTTCTCAGACCGCGTCTGCTGGAATCGTCCAGCGGAGATAGGAGCTTGAGGCGCACACGCGCGTGGAGGCAGCAAATGGCTGCTGTGGGTGGGAGAGAGCAAGCTAGAGGCTGCGAGCAACTGGTGGAGGTGAGTGCGGAGCATCCGGACGGGCCGTTGGACCTTGGGAATTGATTTGGAACTGCCTCCTTCGCTTCGTTGGTTTTGCATATTCCGCAGACGGTGGTGTCGCGCAGGACACGGCGAGTACGAATTGTCCCGGAGATCTCAGATGATACTGAACCCAGTCAGTCATTCGTGCTAGTTTCATCTACCGCTGCCATGCTACCGTACGTCACACAACCGTACGTGGGGCCTATTGGCGCTTACTCCTGAGGATTCGAGTGCAACCAATCATCGTGTCGCAACGCGCCCATTGATTGGAAGGAAGGACAACGGTCGGATCCTGAAACGTGGCGCAACGATGAATCAAGAAGGGAAACTATATCCTAGATCCTTACTTTCAGATTTCTCTCATATTTACCCCCAGGTTTACTCGAAAGGTCCCACTTTCTGGGATTTGGCTCACGCGAGGCCCAAATTATGTTCAAAACTGGTCCTGTAGGGCTCAAATATTGACACGTGTCTATTTCACACCAACAATTTTTGACGGGGCACAAAAACAATAATACCCCTGGGGAAACCAGGACACTTGTTCGGGAGGGATCAACCCTAAACACGGGAACCCGCCCGGTGTTTAGGGTTGATCCCTCCCGAAATGTATCCCGCGGGCAAAAATTAAACCCCTTGGCTTACGGCATGCCATTCGGGAGCATCAACCCTAAAATTTTAGGGTTGAGGCTCCCTCGGATGGCATCCCATCCGAGATGGTTTTAGTTTTTTTTTTTTGCCCGCGATCTGCTTGCTGACTCGATTGCACTGCCTGCTTACGCAGGCAGTGCAATATATTACCCAAATTGTGTCCCGTTTCCCCAGGGGTATTATGTTTGGTTTGCCCCGTATAAAAAACCTTGCACGAAATCGACACGTGTCGTAATTTCTGCCCCGCAGGACCAGTTTTGAACATACTTTGGGCCTCGCGTGAGCAGAATTCCGCAAAGCTGGACTTTTTGGGTAAACTCGGGATCAAAATTGAGATATTTTTGAAACTGTGGAGCTGCGATGTACTTTCCCAATCAAGAATGACAGTGATGGGTGAACGTTTGACATTCGTACGTGGGGAAAATATGCCATTTGTAACGAAAATGGGGCTCGAAAACATTTTTCTGGTAAAAACATAACGGGTACGGTCACTGCAAAGGGCGTTTTCACGCGACTGATAAAACGTTTCACGGAATCAGTCACTAGTAACTGGTAAGAAATCACGGAATGGTCACTGATGAAACTCCCGCCAAAAATTATAACCCAAATGGAACCTGGATTCATTTTCGGACGAATCAATTCTAAACACGTAAATCGCCAGGTGTTTAGGGTTGATCCGTTCCCAAACCGCATCCGATTCCGATTGGGTTTTAGTTTTGTTAGAACTTAGCAGATTGGTTGGGCGCGAGCGGGAAATTTGTAGAGTTTCAAGTTTTTTTGGCGGGAGTTACATGTGTGACCATTCGCGTGATTTTTTTCCTATTGTTAGTGACTGAATCCGTGACCCCACTTACCAAACCCGTCAGCAAACCCGATACAGTGACCGTACGCATCTATTTTTACCATTCTTGTTATTGAGTCCCATTTTGGTTACTTTTTACATATTTTCCCTTCGTACGTGGGGGGATAACGGAGAAATCGAGGACCAAGTGTAGAATATCAACCGCACACGATGTTCTGCATTGAAAGCGCTGTTATCTAAAGCAATTGACAACAAGAATGTTCAAATGGTGGCCTCACTCACATCTAATTCCTTACCTTCCTCCAACGCTTAGCGGAAACGCAGCAGTCAGACATCTGAGGGTACATGCAACTGCAACTTGTTCCGCTCGAACAAAACAATAGAATAATCTGACCCATGGTAACAAAACAACAAAGCATAGAACTATAGCACACAACAAAGCAACCCCACCTAGATTCGGACTGGGCATGCTCACAAAAACACCAACGTTGACATGCCACCATGATGCCTCCACTTCAATGGTGATGATGGTGATGGTGGTGCCTAGACTTCTCCCCCACTCCTGCACTGCTCCCACTAGCCACACCCGACCTACTCCGGTGCGTTGAATGCCCTCCCGTGGCCGTGCGACTGCGGGACGAATGATGAGCCCCACTGCTCGACCCATGGTGCGTCCTGTGGTGCCCATCCTTCGACCCCCCTCCACTCCCCGACCCACTCGTCCCTCCCGTTGCAGCCTTCCTGAGCCCGCTGCTGCTGCTCCCGCCAGTGCGGTGCCGAGAGGTGCTGCCACCAGCGGTGCGGGAGGCGGAGCGGGAGGAGTGTCCGTGGTGCAGCTGGGGTGCACCGGCTCCTCGCGCCTTGAGCGGGTCCGAGAGGGCATCGCGAGACGAGGGCGTCTTGATGGGGCGCTGGTTCAGGTACAGCAGCTGTGGCAGCAGGCCTGGCGGGGAGGAAGGAGGTTTGGGGGAGTGGGGGATGAAGATTGGGAATGAGAGGCCCGCGTGCATGGGACAGCCAGCCAGATGCGCACGCACACCAAACAGACCCGAGAGAAATCTCTCCCCCCTCACAAGCATCTGCACGCGTGAGCCCACCCAGCACAACGCACCGATGAGGTAGCGCTTGAAGGCGTCATCCCCCAGGTTCACGTGAATGGGGTTCCCCGCGAGGTTGAGCGCGCGCAGCGAGGCGTAGTTGGCGGCGAGCTGGCCGAGGGCCTTGGTGGTGGTGACCTTGTTGGCGCCCAGGTCCAGCACGGTGAGCTTGAGCAGGCGGTGCAGCCCCTCCACCTCGCCCACCCTGTTGCCCGCTAGGTACAGCTCCCTCAGCGCCACACACCCCGACAGCCCTGTGGGCGGAAAGCGAGAGGCGGGGGGTGAAGGAAAAGAGGGAGGATTTGAAAAAGAGAGAGAAAACGAGACTTGAAAGAGGGGGGATGGGGAACTGAGGACGGAGTCGGAGGCCCAGGACTCCTGAAGTACAATTCCCCCTATGTCCTGCAACCCAAGACTATTCATTCCGCACCTGTTGACCCTGCCCACCGTGCTGCCCTCTTGCACCACCCCGTGCACTGCTTCTCAATGTGGCCCATTGGGGAAGGCAGTTGTTGGTTTGGAGGCCGAGAATCTAAGGCGTGACAACTCAATTATAGCGTCGCCACTGCCGCTCACTCACACACCCTACCAATACCAATCATCGCACCCCCATGCACCCCACACACCACGCTCCCCTGACTCTCTCCGCAACCCCACCTGCCCCCTGCACTGCACGCACCATGGCCGATGCGAGCAAGGCGGTTGTTGGAGAGGTTGAGCACCTTGAGGCGAGAGAGCTCCCGCAGCCCCTCCACGGCGGCCAGGCGGTTGTGCGACAGGTCCAGGATGTGCAGCGACCGCGGTAGCACGCCCGTTGCCACCGACGCTGTCAGGATGGACCAGGGTGGGGAGTAGGGTTGGAGGATTTGTAAGGTCCCTTGTCGTGAGTTTTTTCTTGAACCGAAATATTTTCGCTGCGTATCTTTGATTGACATCGTCTATTCCTTTTTCAGTGGCTTGTCTTTAAAAGAGGTACCAAGCCCCTTGATCGACAGTCTTAGGTTTGAAGTGAGTGGTGTGGTTGGGAGCAGCGCGGTGAGTGGGGTTAAGAGGAGGACGAAAACCAAAGAAGGAAAACGCGGGGGTGGTAAGAGACCAGGGGTTGCAAAGCAATGCAAGAAGGAAAACGCTGCAAGAACACCGTGGATCGGAAGGAGGGCCAGCTTGCAAGCAGCACAACACGGGGGGAGAGGGTTGGGGAGAACGGGGGCCGGGGGGTTCGTGGGGGGGGGGAATGCACACACGCAGTGGCACACACGCCGCACTCACTGATATTGTTGCGCGACAGGTCGAGCGTCTTGAGCGACGAGAACGCTCCCAGCGGCGGAACCACCAGCAGCCCGCGCATGGACAGATACACAGCCGCCGCGTGCTTGTCCAGCCCGCGCACCACCCTCCCCGCATGCTCCGCCGCGGCCGCCGCCCCCACCGCCACCGCGGCCTGCAGGTTCCCCGCGGCCGCCGCGCCCCCCCCGTGCATGTGCCCGTGCGACATGGAGCGCTTGCTCATGCCGCTGGAGGAATGGTGGTGGTGGTGGTGGGGCGCGGGGGGGGAATGCGGCGGGACTTGCGCGCTGGCGCTGCTGCTTCCGCCGCCGCCGCCCTTGCTGCTGCCGATGCTGCTCCAGTGCTCGATGCTCTCGGACGGCTCCCATTGTCCGCGCGGGAGGCAGCGCACCCACGCCTCCACGCGCGGCATGCCCGCCAGCCACAGCGCTGTCATCTCCCCCGCCTTCCCCGCCTCCTTCGCCTCTCCTCCCGCCGCACCTGCCGCTTTCCCAGCGGACGCTCCGCCAATGCCCTCCCCCGAGCCGATGGTCCCCGCGCCTGCGCTTCCTTCCACTGCGGAGAGCTGCACGTCCCCCAGCTCCGGCATGGACCGCGCGTCCGCCGCAACCGCGTCCGCGCCGGCTGCCGCTGCGCCGACGGGGGAAGATGCGCCAGTGGGCGGACACGGGAGGAGGAGGTCCCCCGTGGTGCGGATGCGCGGAAGCAGCATGTCGGAGCGGGGCTCAGTCCGCCCCGCCTGGTCGCTCGTTGCGCCCTCACTGGCTGCGGAATCCCCCGCGCCAACGTCATCAGCGGGGGGGATGGCGGAAGCGTCCCGCTGCGGAAGGCCATCCGCGCCCCTGGCATCGGCGGCGGAGGGGCCCAGGGAAAACGGCTCCTCTCCCCCCCTTGGCGCCTCCGCTTCCTCCGCCTCCGGACTAAAGTACATTTCCGCCCGTGCCGCGCGAATCTCCTCCCGCGCATCCCGCGCAGCCTCCTGCGCCGCCTCCTCCTCCGCCTCCTCGTCCCACGGCAGCACCGACAGCGGCCCCGACACCCCCAGCTGCAGGTGATCCAGCAGCAGCGCCGTGTCGGAATGCGCGGACGCCTGGCTCCGCGTATCGTCGTCCTCTTCCGCCTCGCCCCCGCTCCCCGCCTCCCCTTCCGCCACCGCCTGCGCTTCCGCCCAGTCGTCCTTCATGTTCTCCAGGTGCCCCGTCATATTGTGCCACATCGTACCGTACTCCGCCGCGTGCGCCGACTCCGCGTCGTCCGCGTGCTGCCCGTCCGCGCTGCCGTCCTGCGGAAGCGACGTGCGCCAGAACTGGAACCCCATGACGTCATCGTTCGCGTGACGGTTATCGTCATCGTCATCGTTATAATAGTCGCCATCCGCGCCGAATCTGTCAACGTCCCTACCCTCCTCAAACTTTCCCCTCTCTCCCCCCTCGTCTCCCCCGTCCCCGCCCTCGAGCATCTTACCGCGGTCGCCGTTGGGCTGCAATCCGCCGTGCGCGTCGAATATGCGATCGTAGTCGTCGTGCTCCATCGTCGTGCGACTGCGACTCCACAGCGCGACATTCTCCACCGACGCATCGCTTAGCGACGCGCGCTTCTCCGCCTCCTCGCACGCCATCTCCGCGTCCCCGCGACCCTCTTCAGGAGAGCCATCGAGATCTCCGGCGATTGGGCTGACCGGCGTCGTGTGCGAATAGTTTGACTTGTTCGCGACGTCGTCGTCCGGGTTGCACCACCGCATGGCCTGCGACAGCGCCACGTCGTTCGCGGTCTCCTGCTGGAAATAAACACCCGGGTCGCTCAAGTGGTCCATCACCCCGTCATCATCCGCCTCCTCCACGTCAGCATGGAATGCCTCGTCGTGTCGCTCCATACGCTCGTCGTCCCGCTGCTCGCCTCCGCTCCGCGGATCCGTGACCGCCACCCCGCCCCCCCCTCCGCTCGCCATCCCCTCACCCACCGACCGTGTATCTCCCCTCCCCGTGCCGCGTCACCTTGCCGTCACCCAGTCCTCCCGCAACGACTGGCGAAACCCCAACCACCACCCCGACCACGCTTCCGCAGATCTCGCCGCTAACGGTGGGAAGTCGAGCACCAGGGCCGATTCGGCTCCAGGACACGCAGGCGAGTGGATCCCGGCCTGCTCGCGCGGCGAGCTCGCGGGCACGCGGCATCAACGTGCTCTGCACCCCTCGCAGGAGCTCGCGCCCAGCCAGATCGCCAACCATCCAGCGACGCTCGCTCCTAAGGAGCACTGATTGACACCTAGCGTGAAACAGAAGCTAACGACTAACAAGGCTAAGACTACTACCAAGGGTGGACGATCAAAGCAGTTACAAGTGGTTTATCTGATGATTTCAAGGAGATAACGCATCTGAGAATCCGACGCTGTGGTGGTGATAGTCATGAATCAATCGCGTGCTGATGGAGGTAATCTCGTGAATCTGACAGGGTTCATCCTGTTGTCATGGATGGACACACTCAGCTGGGGTTCCAGCGGTGTTGGTTCGCTCGCTGCCCGCTGCCTTGCACCTTGGGAATGCCAGGTCCATCAACTCCGTCAGCTCGGGCGGAGTTTCGGCTGGTGCACCGTTGGATGGTGTGCGCCGCTCTGGCGGCTGTTGGCCAAATCGATTGTGGTGTGGTATGGTGGGTGCCCAAACGCCCACTGCACGGCGCAACCTTGGGACTGTCGTGAACATCCCTTCAATCGGGAATCCGCGGTACGGAACAGTCCAGAAACATCTGCACGCTATTTCGGTGATCTGTAAATCTCAATAAATAACTGGCTTACATAGATGCATTTTAAGACATGAAGGCACTAAAAAGAGCTCAAGAATTCGAGTATCTTAACTTCAATGACTGCTTTCTTTGCGCCAAAGCCCTCATGACACTCCTAAACGCCCCTGATGAAGCAACGTCTCGTGCCAACTCGCCTTGCTCCTTGTCAAGAATTCTTGAAAACGGATTGTACTGCAAACTTGCCCACGCAAAGTGCACCCACACTCGGCGCAGAGCAGCTTGCTTGAGAGCGAGCTCTTGTGGAGGGATGCTGGTGAGGATGCCGTGGAGGTGGGGGATGTCTGCAGGAGTCAGCCTCACTGAGAAGTCGTCCCAATCCAAAAAGCCATCCCCCTCAAATGGCATGCTCACATTGGGCTGGCGTGGTGGGGAGAGGGGTGAGAATGAGAGACAAATCAGGGATAGTCACAAAGATGGCACTGAACTGGAGTGAAGACGTAGTGTGTGAGCCGGAAAGGAAGGAACTCTCACCTGTATTATCACAGGGATGCATCCAAGTGTCACCGCTTGAGTGGCCGTCTCATCAGCACCCCAACCCCCCGCCACCAGACAGAACACCGACCGAGCCATCCGCTCCAAGTACCCTCCTCTTTCCCCCCTCTCCCCTCCCACTCCCCCTTGCTGCTCCCCAAAGTCCCCCTCCCCCGGCGTACGCTCTATGACAAACCCTTTTGGCACAGCAGCAGCGGAGTCAAGCGAGTCAAACCAGTCAAACAGCGCCTGCCGCACCCCAAACGAGTAGTTAAAGCCCAACACCGGCTCCACATCCCGCCCGTCAAACCCGCGGAAGAAAAAGAAAATATCCCGCCCACCAGCCTGCCCGTATTCTCCTTGGACGCCCATGGCTGCCTCATACACCTCGGGCAGCAAAACGGGCGGGATAACAACATCCTGCCCGGGAATGAAGCAGCCAGGCAGGGCGGCATCAAACGGCATGTTCCCTGAGTACCCCCACAGCGACAGCACTGTGCTGCGCGCCAGCATGGGGTCTCGCCGACCGGCTTCGCCGACCTCACACGCCGCCCAGTCATCATTGGCCAGGAAGACGTGGTCGGCGCCAGCGTGACGGTCCCAGTAGGGCCACTCGTCTCTTATGTGCTCGATCGCCCATGATAGTACACTCTGCTTCGCTGTGCCTCGGTGCCTGTGGAAGGGCAGGGAGGAGGAGATGCAAGTATGGGGAATAGGGTTGTCTTTAAGGATAAAGTAGCTGTTCTCACGCAACTCAGGATGACACACACACTACCTATAAGGCGCAACAAGCTACAGATTGGACGCTGACTAGACGCTAATTTAATGCTGAATGGGCGCTGACTGGATGCCAACTCACCGCAGCAGCAGGGGCACGTAGAACAGGTCAGCCTCCTCGGGATCTGCAGTGCGCCATGCTGACGTCAACAGCGCGTCCAGAAACACATACCCCTCCCACCGGCCCCTCCCCGCCCCCAGCACACCCTGCCACGTGTTCAGGTACCCGGGCAGCTCATACACAAAGATTTTCGGCCGGGCAGCGGAGACGAGTGCAGGGGAGGGAGGTGGGACAGCGTCAGTCCAGAGGAAGGGTCGTCTGCGGTGCAGAGTGGTGGCACCGTGGGCATCGAGGGAAAGCGCACAGTCAATGCCAAACGTGCCCCTCGCACACTTGCACACTCCCTCCACACACTCGCTGCCCGCTCCTCTCCCCACACCTTGCCCCCCATCCCCGTCCCCTGCATACTCTCCCTCCTCCTCCTCCTCCCCCTGCCCCTCCCCGCCCACGCTATGATCGCCACAGGCCCCGAAGCAGTCAAAGGGCAGCCAGCCCCGCTGCTCACAGCCCGCACCCGAGTAGAGCGCAGGGCAGCTGGTGGAGGGGGGCCGGCAGGGTGGAGGGAAGAACAAGGAGGTCTGAGAAGAGTTCCGGGCAGCAGCGGAAGAAATACGGGATCAGGGGCGAGGTGGAAAGGGAATATTGGGATGAGAGGAGACGGGAACATGTGTGGGTGAGTGGAGTGGTGTGATGGCATAACGAGCCATGCACGAGTACGCACATGCAAACACATTTCATACACATTCCCTCACTGACACTTGAGGTTATCCCTCATAAACATGCAGCAAGCCACCTCCCACTCACGTGCACGTGAGGCTGCCTCTGTCACACACGCCAACGCCCGAGCAGTTGTACGGACACTCGTGCGGCGCCCCAAACCCCCCTCCGTCCTCCTCCCTCCCCTCCCCTTCCCCCCCGCCCCCTGGGCGCACGGTCTCCCCCGGCCCCACCTCGTTGCCCCGCCCATCCAGCAACAGCGCCACCTGCCTCTGCCAATACAGCCTCCCCACGTCCACCCACGGCCCGCGCCTTCCTGGAAAGTCACCCCACGCCTCTTCTTCTTTCACCTTGGGTTCATCGTCCCCTTCCACTCCCTCACCTCCCTCCCCCTTCCCTGCCACCTCTGCCTGCCCGACCGTCTGGCCTTGTTCACGGGCAGCTGTGCTGTTGCTGCCCTTGATCCACCCCATCAGGGCGTCTCTCACCCCTCCACCGCGAGCCGCCACAGCAGTCAAAAAGGAAGAGGAGTTTCCCCCACTGCTGCTGTTGACACTACCAGCTACAGCACCAGCACCAGCACCGTTAGCAGTAGCAGCAGCAGCAGAGGTATCATTTCCCCCCATGAGTGCACCAGTCTCATCGAAGCACTCTGCCAGATGCTCGAGGCGGTACCGATCGCACTCCCTCACACACGCACACGATGTCGCCACGTGGCATGGCGTCCACACGTCCGGCGCCAGCTGGCAGCTGGGCATGGCCAACACGTGGCAGTGCTTGCCTGTGAAGCCAGGCACGCAGTGACACGTGGCAGTGGCCTCGTTGCACGTGCCCCGAAGAAAGCAGAGGGAGGAGCAGTTGGAGGGGGGCGAGGAGGAGGAGAGGGAGGAGGAAAGGGAGGAGGAGAGGGAGGGATGGAGAGAATTTGCCCGAGTATGAGGGGGTGATAGTGAGGATGGCAGCAATGACAGCGAATGCAGCTGACTCGTGGAATCACCTCTTCCGCCCACCCCACTCTCCCCACCCTCCTCTCCCTTGCTTCCCCCCTCCCCCTCCTCCTCTTCCACCACCACGCCCCCAACAGTGTACCATCTCCTTCCCCCAGCCCCCTTCCCTTTCCCCCACGCACCCCCCCCTCGCCCCACCCACCCTCCCACCTGCCTGTACCCCCCTGCTTCCCCACCCCCCGCCAACTTGCTTGCTCGGGAAAACACAACGCTGGGTCCCCCACCGGGTCCCACCTTCCCCCCTGCCGCTGGCAGCGTCACCATCCCCTTTACAGCAGAAACTTCAGCTGCCCGAACCCGCCGCCCGAGAACAGCCATGACGGACGAAAACGCATCTGAGGAGGCGAGCAGCGGGCGCAGCTTCTTCTGCAGGTACAGCAGGCTGGAGGGCGTGGGGGGGGAGGAGGCGGAGGAGGAATACGAGGAGATGGAGGAGGAGGAGGAGGAGGAGGAGGAGGAGGAGGAGGAGGAGGAGGAGGAGGAGGAGGAGGAGGAGGAGGGAGGAGGAGGAGGAGGAGGAGGAGGAGGAGGGGGAGGGCGAGAGGGGGCTGTAGGTTGGCGAGGCCCAGAGCAGGTGCGGCCACGCGGCCTTCATGGCGCTGCGGCGCCCCGCCACCTCCTCCGCGGTGATGCCTCGCAGGATCTCCGGGAGCTCTGGCAGCTGCTGGGGGGCGAGGAACAGCGCCAGGGACGGCCAATGGATGGCACCACCGCCACCACCACCTGCTGTTTTATCCATGCCTATGCCCGCAGCACTGGCGCTAGCAAATGGGTGCTGAGTGTTGGGCTGGACGATCACGGGGATGCACCCGAGGAGCACTGCCCGCACCACGGTGTCACTGTAGCCCGTGGGGGGCGTGGGCGCAAAGCAGAACTGCGCCCGCAGCATGGCGTCTGTCACCTCGCCCTCCTCTCTCTCCCGCCCCTCCTCCTCCCCCTCATCTCCTGCTTCCCCTGCCTCATCCCAGTCCCCGCCTTGCCCCTCCTGCACTGCCCCCCTGCCCGGTGTGCCCACGTGCATGATTCGGAACCCCACCTGCTGCTGCCGGTGGGAGAACAGCTGCAGGAACCGCGCCCCTATACTCGACACACGCTCATTCGGTACAAGCCGCGCGGCCAGAGACGAAGCAGCACGTGGGTCCCTGTGTGCAGCACCCCAGTCGCCTCCAGGCCTCCCCACCCACTCGCCTGCTCCCATCACTTCCCCAGCTCTCATACCCACCCCGGCCCCCAGACTCCACACCCCCTTTGCTTTTCCTGCTGCGCCCATCCCCCCCCCTGCCCCTGCCCCTACCCCTCCACTTCCCCTAGTCCCCCTAACAACAAAGAGCAGAAGAGTGTTGCGGTCGGGGGTGCCTTGGAGGGGTTCGCGCACGAAGGGCGAGGCGAGCACCACAGAGGGGGGCAGCAGCGGGGGGATCACCACGTCCTGCCCGGGGATGAAGCACACCCCCCCACGCCCACGCCCCTGCTGCTCCCACTGCTGCTGCACCTGCGCCCCTTTCCCCACCCTTGCCCTGCCTATCCTGTCATCGGCCCCTCTCGCCCCGCCCACCGCTCCCTCATACCCCCAGGGCATGAGCACCACAGCTCGCTCCAGCCTCGGATGCCTCTGCAGCACCATCCGCCCCCCTTCACCCTCCACCATTCCCACTCCCCCCTCGCCTCCGCCACCCCACCTGCTTGGCCGCACCTCACACGCCCCCCAGTCGCCGTTGAGCAAAAAGACATGGTCGGCGCCGTTTGTCCTATTCCAGAAGGGCCAGTGGCGGCTGATGTAGGTCACTGCTTCCTCAATGGCGTCCCACCCCGCCATCGCCATGGCCATGCCTCCATACCCGCCCATCGCCATGCCCCCCTCCATGCCCCCCATGCTCATTTGCCCGCGATTCCTGGTGGTCGAGAGAGGTGATAGGGCAGATGAAGAATGGAGGGAGCAAGGTGAGGACAGGGGCGAGGGAGTGGGGGACGTGAAACGGGTGAGGAGCAGTCAGCGCCTGGCGACCCACTGCCTGCAGCTGATGCTCTATCTGAGACTCAGCACGACAAGCTAGGGTGTCACACCACTGCCCCACCTCACCTGGTAACAAGCGGAACATAGAAGTAGTTCGCCTGCTCGCCATGCGCTGTGCGCCGGCCATCCGCCAGCAGCCTCTCCAAGAACACCACCCCCTCGGGGCGATCCAGCGCGCCCGACTGCTCCCACTGCCACGTGTTCATCTCAGGCGGCAGCTCGTACACGTAGATTTTTGGGGTGGGATTCTTGTCTTGTAGCCCCGCCCGGAAGGGCAGGAACTGGGGCGGCCATCTGAAGGTGGGGTTTGGGAGAATGCTGGGGCGGGAAGGAGGGAAGGGCGGGGTTGGGTAAGGGTGGGTGAGAGGGGCGGAGGGTGGGAGGAAGGAAGGAGGAATAGGAATGTAGGGGAGCAAGAAACAGCAAGATTGGGCGGATGAGAGGGTGGGAGGCAGTGCGAGGCAGCCCTTGTGAGCCATACCCTCGCCCTCACCTTATGTTTCCCGTGCTGGGATCCACCGACAGTGAGCAGTCGATGCCGAAGCTGCCAGCCTGGCACGTGCAGATGCCACCGTCACACCTGCCGCGCCCACTGCACGCGTTCACACACCGCACGCCCCCCGCGCGCTCCTCCTCGCACCCCGGCCCCGCGTAGCGCCACGCGCAGCTGGTGCGGAAGGCGGGGAAGGAGAAAGAGAGAGAGGGAGGGCGGGAAAGACGGAGAGGTGAAGAGAGGGGAGCAACAGAGGGAGCAGACTGATTGCTTTACACTTGCGTTTCGTTAAAAGAAGGACGCAGAGGGATCATAAGATGGGGCTGATGGGACATGGGCGGACGGCGGGCACGCACTCGCACGTCTTGGACGCGTCACGGCACAGCCCGCGGCCAGAGCACCCCAGGGGGCACTCCCGCGGGTCTGTGTATCGCTTCCGCAACTGCCACGTGTATTGCGCCCACACCTGCTTCTGCGCTCCGCCCGCCACCCGCCCGCGCGCTGCCTGTGTTCTCCCCTCTAAAACCGCTCCCCCCACGCCAGCAGCGCTTCCCCAGTCGCTCCGCGCGCCTCCTGACGGCATGTCCCTTGCGCCCGCACCTTTCCACCGCACATTGCGCCCCCCGTCCCATCTTCGCGAGCTCTTGCGCAGCGTGGGGAGATCGTTGCTGTGCAATCTGCTACGGCCGCGTGGACCGCTGGAAGCTCCCCCAGACACTATGGCGGATGAAGCCGCACCGTTCCCCGCGCCACTCTGCACTTCCCCCTCCGCCATCCCCGGGCTCGTCCATTCCGACTCACCCCCCCCTTCCGCTGTGCCGACTGTTAGGACTTCCGCGCGGAAGATGTCCGCCAGCGAGCGTGGCGGAATGGCGGAGGCGTTGGGGGAGGCGTTGAAGCACACCGCGCCGGAGCCGATGAGGTGAAACGCGCGGCACTCGCGCGCGCACGCGCAGGTGGAGGGGAACGCGCACGGCGTGCGGAAGCCCGGCGCAAGCTGGCAGGAGGGGAAGGCGTCGGCCTCGCACGCGTCGCCCGTGAACCCCGCGGGGCAGTCGCAGCGACCGAGCTCCTCGTTGCACGTGCCGCGGCGCGAGCAGCGCTTCGAGCAGCGCGATTTGAATTGGGGGCTCCATCGGCTGGCAGCGCGCGACGAGAAAAAGCCTTCTTCATCAGGACCGTCTGTTAGGGCTAATCTTGTCAGATCGATGACTGCGAAAAGGGCGAGGAGAAAAGCGACGGCGAGGATGGCCAGACGGGAGAAACGGCGTAGGCGGGTAGGGGAGGTGGGGAGGTTAGAAGATTAGAAGATTTTTCGGAGACTGGTGACGGCGGAGGGCTAACCTTCTTATTGCGAAGCAAATGGTTACTATCTTCTGACTTCCGGGACCATCTAAGGCGGAACAACCGCGACGTGAAGCTAGATACCCCGCGTAGCCATTCTGAGCCACCCGGACCTGCTGTGCTTGTCAACGTGAGTCGCGTGGGAGCGCAGACTACGTGGTACTTAGAATCCATCACTAAGTTACTTCCCCTGACGGGCATGAGGGCCTATGGCAGTGATCGTGAATCTCGAGGATGGTAGCTGCAAGGATATCTGCAGTGATTGTGAATCAAGTGAAAGCTATGTAATTTCAAGGCTGACAAAAAAAAAAGGAGGCAAACGAAATTCATTCCCTGGTATTGGTTGGCGCTGATGACACAGAGACTGTCGAGAAGGTCGCTGATGTGGCGGGAAAATGTGTCAGAGATTTGAAGTGGATGCGACATAGAGTAAACTGTGCTGGGACGAATCGACAAACTTCAGATAGGAAAGTGAATTTGTGATACCATAGACATTTTTACTAGAAAAAAACGTATGAAATTGGAGACATTCTCATGGGGATTTGAGGACTGTTTATCCAAGGTGGTCATCTCATTTGTCAAGGCTCGTCTTGTTGAAGCGTGTTGCCTGCCCTTCTTGACCTAGATGACAAGTAGTTGCTTGCGGAGCCTGAAGATGTCAACAGATAATGAGACTAAAGACTAGAATTTTGTGAGGATGGATCAGTACAGCTCTATATGTGATGCATTTGTGCTGTAATTGAAGTGTCAAAAGGATTTTTGTGGTACAAATAAAAAATGAATGGTGTACACGCTTTACAAATGTGCACCTAACTCACTCTGACCCCGCTGCTGACATTACTTCTTCCCGCCACACTTCCTTAGAGATTGTCGGTGTTAGAGGGACTTGTTGTAACATTCCTAGTCGGCTGAATTTCCAGATCGCCATTCAGAGACGGCCATGGCCACTTGCTAAGACTATATTTTGGGAACTGCACAGAAGAGTTACTTTTCACGAATTCCTGCGATCGGACACCTTTCTTGAAGGGCGTTCTGGATTCTCGTAGCCGAATTTGTCCCCATGGTGGTCTGCAAATGCCGTAAGGTGTGCCGCGTGCGAACACTCGATTGATCGTTTCGAATCGCATGCGTCCCTACTGAAATTCTGCCAATCTGTTAACAAAGCACTGCTGCAAAGCTTTCAATCATGTTATGGCTGATAAGATCATCAAATAACTCCTTTACCCGTGTCGTTGACAGATTTGCTGCTAGGAATCTCATACTTCGAATTCCGCTTCGGATTGATTTAAATTTCGTCGCAGGCCACCAAGTTATACTGCTTCGTACACAAGACGCCCGTGTGCTTCGACTGCATATGCGCTCCCGACCACCAGCACTGCGTGGTACGTGCTGTCGCCACCTGTCGCCACCTTTCGCTTGTTGCCGTCCTACCGGATCCTCTTGGCCATGATTCGTGGAGTGATAACAGCAGCATACCACCGTCTTTTTGTTGAATGCGGAACGTTTCTCGAAGCAACAAAGCAAACGGTTCTCGTATCCGTGCTTCCCTCCCTCCCTCCCTCCTCCCTCCCGCTCTCCCGCCCCGCCCCCGCGACGATTCGACTCCAGGTATGGCAATACTCGGACTGGGTGAACGACGGCGACTACGACTGGCCGCCGCACTGCGCGGTGTGCAGCGAGTCCCTCGAGGACTCCGACAAGCCCACCATCCGCCTCTCCTGCCTCCGTACGTGCGCTCTCCCCTTCTACCTTACCTGCCTCACCTTCTCCTCTAAATGCCAACCCGCCGGCCTATGCTCCTCACGTACAGCACTGTCCAGTATGAGACTCACCGTGTTGCCTGCTGCTGGCCTGACATGTACTGTATGGTGTGGTGGGCGGGTGCAGACGTGCCCCATGCGGAGTGTGTGAAGAAGCATGTGGAGTCCTTTCCACCCAACACCGCCCCAGCGGGCTTCACATGTGCCTCCCCTGGTTGTGGCCTTGAGGTGCGTCCCGTGGTGTGGTATGGGGCTTGATTGATTTGCAGTGGCATGCGCTTGGTGATCAGCACAGGCGATCAGCTGTATTCGCAGTATTTAAGGGCGCTTGCCCTTGTTTTGATTTCCTTCTTCTCCCGAATTGGAGTGAGTGTGTGGGTGTGTGTGTGTGAGGGGGGGGGAAGGGGGGATGAGGGGGATGCGTGCATGTGTACATGTGTGCGTGCGTGCATATGTGTGTGCGAGCAGATATGGCCAGCCAGGTCGCACAAGGACTCTGCGTCTGCTCTCTACACGCACCTCAGAGCGCTCCTGGCTCAGGTGGGTCTGTTGGAATAGCTCCTGGCTCAGGTGGGTCTGTTGGAATAGCTACTGGCTCAGGTGGGTCTGTTGGAATAGCTCCTGGCTCAGGTGAGTCTGTTAGAATAGCTCCTGGCTCAGGTGGGTCTGTTGGAATAGCTCCTGGCTCAGGTGGGTCTGTTGGAATAGCTCCTGGCTCAGGTGGGTCTGTTAGAATAGCTCCTGGCTCAGGTGGGTCTGTCAGAATAGCTCCTGGCTCAGTTGGGTCTGTTAGAATAGCTCCTGGATCAGGTGGGTCTGTTAGAATAGCTCCTGGCTCAGGTGGGTCTGTTAGAATAGCTCCTGGCTCAGGTGGGTCTGTTAGTATAGCTCCTGGCTCAGGTGGGTCTGTTGGAATAGCTCCTGGCTCAGGTGGGTCTGTTAGAATAGCTCCTGGCTCAGGTGGGTCTGTTAGAATAACTCCTGGCTCAGGTGGGTCTGCTAGTATAGCTCCTGGCTCAGGTGGGTCTGCTAGTATAGCTCCTGGCTCTCCCTTAGTAGAATTCCAACCAGTGATAACCTTCTTTTCCCCTCCAACTAGCCCACTTGTTCCGTTTCAACCAGCCACAACCATGGTTTCCCCCTCTCACACCCATCCCGCACAGACATCTGTAGCTGACGTCATCCTCAGCGCGCCAGTCACATCCGACCCAGCAGCAGCATCCGCCCAAGCCACAGCACTATCAGACAAACCCACGCCACCCGCATTCGCCTCCGCCCTCTTGCCGTGGTGGGGCGGGCGGCAGACTTCAGCCTCCGGCCCTCTTGCCGTGGTGGGGCGGGCGGCAGACTCCGCCAGTGCAGGGGCAGAGGGGGAGGCTCGGGGGGGAGCAGGCGGGGCAGTGGAGGAGAGGAACGGCGGGGAGGGGGAGGGCAGTGGGGCAGGGTCGTCAGGAGTAGCAGCAGCGGCTGTGGCGGCTGCAGCGGCGGCGGCGGCGGCTGCGGCTTCAGCTGGGGCTAAGCGCCAAGTGAGTCGCCAGAGGTGGGATTTGCTGTGCATGTGCTAGTGGTGGGATGCGGTTTGCAGGGGTGCATCAGTGCCACTACTCCCTGCCCCCCTCAGTTTTCTCCCCTCGTTCAAGTGAAGGTGATTACCGCTCACTCTTCCCCCCCAGCCACAGCAGCAGGGCGGGGTGAACATCGCTCGCAGCCGAACGGGCGGCTCAGATCGCACGGCGGTGGACATCACAGAGGAGATCGAGACGGCTTACCGCACGGATGAGGAAGCGGGCGACCGCAAATACGCCAGACGAGGTGAGAAATCAGAGAGAGGGGGGAGGGGGAAGGGGGAAGGGGGAAGGGGGAAGGGGGAAGGGGGAAGGGGGAAGGGAGGAGGGGGGAGGGGGGAGGGGAGAGGGGGTGATGGCGTAGTGTAAGGAGCATGTGAATGCATATGGCGTATGGCACTGATGAGGAGGTAGGCGAACGCAAGTATGCCAGACTAGGTGAGGGAGAGTGGCGTATAAGGGGGGGGGGGGAGGCGGGAAGAGGAGAGAGTGTGTGCATGCATGCAAGGTGGCGTGCGTATCTGCTTGTTGGCCAGGTGGGCGAGAGGAAGTGCACCAGACTAGGCTTGAGAAGGGTGGGGAGATGAGGTGGGCGCCTCTCCTCTCAACCCCGCCTCTCACCCTGTGAGTGCATCACCGCTGTCCTTTCCCCACTCCCCCCACCTCCTCAGGCCCGGCGCATCTGCAGCTGCTGCGGGTGCTGGGCCCGTGGTCACCTGCTCGTCAACCACTTGCGCATCACTCATCCCTCTCACCACCCTCTCTCAACCCCCTTTTATGCCGCCTCTCCCTCCCACACCTCCTCAGGCCCGGCGCATCTGCAGCTGCTGAGGGTGCTGGGGTCGTGGTGGTCACCGGCGCTGCACGCACTGCCAGTGACGCTCACGACCACGCACTCGCACCGCAGGGACAAGGACGAGCACGTGCCTGTGGGCGCGCACGAGGAGGGCAGGCGGAGAGCGGGGCAGCGGCGCAGCGGGGGTGTGGACCCCAGGAAGCTGCTGCTCATCGTGGCCATTGTGTAAGCTGCTTGATGCATGCCCTGCCCTGCCCTGCCCTGCCCTGCCCTGCCCTGCCCTGCCCTGCCCTGCCCTGCCCTGCCCTGCCATGCCATGCCATGCCATGCCATCCCATGCCATGCCATGCCATGCCATGCCATGCCATGCCATGCCATGTCATGCCATGCCATGCCATGCCATGCCATGCCATGTCATGCCATGCCATGCCATGCCATGCCATGCCATGCCATGCCATGCCATGCCATGCCTTGCTGCTGTGGTTGTAGCGTGAAGAGGAGTGTGCGGTTGGGGTTCTCTGTGCCATGTTGCATGCCCACTCATTGTCACCACTGCTACATCCTTCCTCTTCATTCCCTCCCTCCTTCCACCTATCCGCCCCCCCCTGCATTCATGGTGCCGTTGGCTGGACATGCAACCCTCTCACACCTTCCCTGGTGTTGTTGACCACATACTGCACCCCTTGCGTTTGCAGATCATGCATGGCAACAATGCTGCTGCTGTATTACCGCCTTGCTCAGGGAGCCATGTCCGAAGGCGCATCTACACTTCCTTAGTCAATAGCACGCATGCTACATGTATCAACACTACACTCAGCGGTATGCTTAGAGCCACGCCCTGGCTGCCTACACAAGACTCATACAGATGTGGAAGGTGGTAGTATGCCCACGTATGGATGTTTCTTGAGTATTGTATTGGTATGGATTGATGGAGAACTTTGAAGATAAACATGAGCCTCAGCGCCTAATTTCTATCACCATAGCACGTTATGTGTTGTACCCCCTGTTTTGCGACAAGACATAGATGTTTTCCGAAGGTGTTGACCGAGAATGTACTCATTCGTCGACAGGAATGTCAAGTTGCAACCGCAATTGCTTCCCTACGACCTGCAAGGCGCAGAACGGAGAAGGGAGGAGCAAGAGAATGGAGTACGACGCTTGGGTTTGTCACGGGACACACCGTAAGAGGGACAGGCAGTTGTGTGGCCAAGACCAGGCTTGCAGGCAAGCAGCCAGGCAGACATGGATGGCATGGCATGGCATGGCACAGGGCTTGGTGGTACAGGGCACGGTATGGCATGGCATGGCACGTGGCAGGGAAGGGCAGGGCTTTGGACCTTGTAGACGTCATTGAAGGAGAGGAGCGTGTCGCTGCTGAACCCCGCCTGCTCCATCGCCTGCACCACCACCTCCTGTGCCGTGATGTGCGGTGATGTGTGGTGATTGGGTTTTGAGGGGGGGGGGGGGAGGGGGAGAAATGGGGGTGATGAGTGATAAAGGGTGAGTAGAAGGAGGAACATGTCAGTACTGAGTGGTGTGTGGTGTGTGGCGTGTGGCGTGTGGTGTGAGGATATCCTCCCAGGATATCCGCCCAGGATATCCTCCCGGGATATCCTCTACGGATATCCCCCCGGGATATCCGCCCAGGATATCCTCCCAGGATATCCTCCCAGGATATCCTCCCACGATATCCGCCCAGGATATCCTCCCAGGATATCCTCCCAATATATCCTCTCAGGATATCCTCCCAGGATATCCGCCCAGGATATCCCCACAGGATATCCTTCCGGGATATCCTCCCAGGATATTTGCCGAGGATATCCTCCCAGGATATCCTCCCAGGATATCCGCCCAGGATATCCTCCCAGGATATCCGCCCAGGATATCCTCCCAGGATACCCTCCTAGGATATCCCCCCAGGATATCCTCCCCGGATATCCTATACGGATATCCCCCGGGAAATCCGCCCAGGATATCCTCCCAGGATATCCTCCCACAATATCCGCCAGGGATATCCTCCCGGGATATCCGCCCGCGATATCCTCCCGGGATATCCGCCCAGGATATCCTCCCAGGATATCCTCCCAGGATATCCGTCCAGGATATCCTCCCAGGATATCCTCCCAGGATATCCTCCCTGGATATCCGCCCAGGATATCCGCCCAGGATATCCTCCCAAGATATCCGCCCACGATATCCTCCCAGGATATCCTCCCACGAAATCCTCCCAGGATATCCGCCCAGGATATCCTCCCAGAATATCCTCTCAGGATATCCTCCCAGGATATCCGCCCAGGATATCCCCACAGGATATCCTTCCGGGATATCCTCCCAGGATATCTGCCGAGGATATCCTCCCAGGATATCCTCCCAGGATATCCTCCCAGGATATCCTCCCGGGATATCCGCCCAGGATATCCCCTCGGGATATCCTCCTAGGATATCCTCCAAGGATATCCTCCCAATATATCCTCCCAGGATATCCGCCCACGATATCCGCCCAGGATATCCTCCCAGGATATCCTCCCAGGATATCCGCCACGGATATCCTCCCAGGATATCCGCCCAGGATATCCTCCCATGATATCCTCCCAGGATATCCGCCCAGGATATCCTCCCTGGATATCCGCCCAGGATATCCTCCCGGGATATCCGCCCAGGAGATCCTCCCAGGATATCCTCCAAGGATATCCTCCCAGGATATCCTCCCGGGATATCCGCCCAGAATATCCTCCCAGGATATCCTCCCAGGATATCCTCCCAGGATATCCTCCCAGGATATCCTCCCAGGATATCCTCCCAGGATATCCTCGCAGGATATCCGCCCAGGATATCCTCCCAGGATATCCGCCCAGGATATCCGCCCAAGATATCCTCCCAGGATATCCGCCCAGGAGATCCTCCCAGGATATCCTCCCAGGATATCTGCCCGGGATATCCTCCCAGGATATCCTCCCATGATATCCGCCCAGGATATCCTCCCAGGATATCCGCCCAGGATATCCTCCCAGGATATCCGCCCAGGATAATCGACCATGATTCCTCCCAGGATATCCTCCAAGGATATCCGCCCAAGATATCCGCCCAGGATATCCGCCCAAGATATCCCCCCAGGATATCCTCCCAGGATATCCGCCCAGGATATCCTCCCAGGATATCCTCCCAGGATATCCTCCCAGGATATCCGCCCAGGATATCCTCCCAGGATATCCTCCCAGGATATCCTCCCAGGATATCCGCCCGGGATATCCGCCCAGGATATCCTCCCAGGATATCCTCCCAGGATATCCTCCCAGGATATCCTCCCATGATATCCGCCCAGGATATCCTCCCAGGATATCCGCCCAGGATATCCGCCCAGGATATCCTCCCGAGATATCCTCCCGGGATATCCGCCCGCGATATCCTCCCGTAATATCCGCCCAGGATATCCTCCCAGGATATCCGTCCAGGATATCCTCCCAGGATATCCGCCCAGGATATCCGCCCAGGATATCCGCCCAGGACATCCGCCCAGGATATGCGCCCAGGTTATCCGCCCAGGTTATCCGCCCAGGATATCCTCCCAGGATATCCGCCCACGATATCCTCCCAGGATATCCGCCCACGAAATCCTCCCAGGATATCCTCCCGGGATATCCGCCCAGGATATCCTCCCAGGATATCCGCCCAGGATATCCGCCCAAGATATCCTCCCAGGATATCCTCCCAGGAATTCCTCCCAGGATATCCGCCCAGGAGATCCTCCCAGGATATCCGCCCAGGATATCCTCCCTGGATATCCGCCCAGGATATCCTCCCGGGATATCCGCCCAGGAGATCCCCCCAGGATATCCTCCCGGGATATCCTCTCAGGATATCCTCCCAGGATATCCTCCCGGGAAATCCTCCCGGGATATCCTCCCAGGATATCCTCCCAGGATATCCTCCCGGGATATCCTCCCGGGATATCCGCCCAGGATATCCTCCCAGGATATCCTCCCAGGATATCCTCCCAGGATATCCGCCCAGGATATCCTCCCAGGATATCCTCCCGAGATATCCTCCCGGGATATCCGCCCGCGATATCCTCCCAGCATATCCGCCTAGGATATCCGCCCAGGATATCCGCCCAGGATATCCTCCCAAGATATCCTCCCAGGATATCCGCCCTGGAAATCCTCCCAGGATATCCTCCCGGGATATCCTCTCAGGATATCCCCCCGGGATATCCGCCCAGGATATCCTCCCAGGATATCCTCCCAGGATATCCTCCCGGGATATCCGCCAGGGATATCCTCCCGGGATATCCGCCAGGGATATCCTCCCGGGATATCCGCCAGGGATATCCTCCCAGGATATCCTCCCGGGATATCCTCCCGGGATATCCGCCCTGGAAATCCTCCCAGGATATCCTCCCAGGATATCCTCCCAGGATATCCTCCCAGGATATCCTCCCAGGATATCCTCGCAGGATATCCGCCCAGGATATCCTCCCAGGATATGCGCCCAGGATATCCGCCCAAGATATCCTCCCAGGATATCCGCCCAGGAGATCCTCCCAGGATATCCTCCCAGGATATCTGCCCGGGATATCCTCCCAGGATATCCTCCCATGATATCCGCCCAGGATATCCTCCCAGGATATCCGCCCAGGATATCCTCCCAGGATATCCGCCCAGGATAATCGACCATGATTCCTCCCAGGATATCCTCCAAGGATATCCGCCCAAGATATCCGCCCAGGATATCCGCCCAAGATATCCCCCCAGGATATCCTCCCAGGATATCCGCCCAGGATATCCTCCCAGGATATCCTCCCAGGATATCCTCCCAGGATATCCGCCCAGGATATCCTCCCAGGATATCCTCCCAGGATATCCTCCCAGGATATCCGCCCGGGATATCCGCCCAGGATATCCTCCCAGGATATCCTCCCAGGATATCCTCCCAGGATATCCTCCCAGGATATCCTCCCATGATATCCGCCCAGGATATCTTCCCAGGATATCCGCCCAGGATATCCGCCCAGGATATCCTCCCGAGATATCCTCCCGGGATATCCGCCCGCGATATCCTCCCGTAATATCCGCCCAGGATATCCTCCCAGGATATCCGTCCAGGATATCCTCCCAGGATATCCGCCCAGGATATCCGCCCAGGATATCCGCCCAGGACATCCGCCCAGGATATGCGCCCAGGTTATCCGCCCAGGTTATCCGCCCAGGATATCCTCCCAGGATATCCGCCCACGATATCCTCCCAGGATATCCGCCCACGAAATCCTCCCAGGATATCCTCCCGGGATATCCGCCCAGGATATCCTCCCAGGATATCCGCCCAGGATATCCGCCCAAGATATCCTCCCAGGATATCCTCCCAGGATATCCTCCCAGGATATCCGCCCAGGAGATCCTCCCAGGATATCCGCCCAGGATATCCTCCCTGGATATCCGCCCAGGATATCCTCCCGGGATATCCGCCCAGGAGATCCCCCCAGGATATCCTCCCGGGATATCCTCTCAGGATATCCTCCCAGGATATCCTCCCGGGAAATCCTCCCGGGATATCCTCCCAGGATATCCTCCCAGGATATCCTCCCGGGATATCCTCCCGGGATATCCGCCCAGGATATCCTCCCAGGATATCCTCCCAGGATATCCTCCCAGGATATCCGCCCAGGATATCCTCCCAGGATATCCGCACGGGATATCCGCCCGGGATATCCTCCCAGGATATCCGCCCAGGATATCCTCCCGGGATATTCGCCCAGGAAATCCGTCCAGGATATCCTCCCA